GACACTGCCCTGGTGGCTTTCCCAATCGGGGGAGCTGTCTGGCTGCTGGCACAGTGTTGGCATCTCTCTTCACAGCGTGCTTGTGCACAGCCGTGTGAAGGGAGGACCACGGCCGCGTGTGTTAACCTGGGCACGGCCACCTCTGCTTGCCCAAGCCCAGATGCGGCAGTGTCACCGTCTGCCCCGCTGTGGTATGTGTGTGTCTGGGCCAGCAGCATGTGCTTGCTGGGTGTGTGTCAGGAAAAGGACAGGAGAATCCAGACAGGGTCAGGGGGGAAGGTGCACACAGAGGCCATGGTGCAGCTCCACAGCAAAGGAGATCAGGTTTCAGGAGAGCCTGGAGCGAGGGCTGGAGGGGGACAGGAGGTGGGCTTTGCTGCTGCATTCCCTGGCAGGCAGCACAAGGCAGGTTTAAAGAATATCCTTCCATTTAGGAGTTTGTTTATTATTCTTAACTAAGCAGCTCAGACAGGCAAGCCGGCAGCACCGTATCCACGCTGACTTCCCAGGAAGGCAGGGAAGGGAGGGACAGGAAGGCAGATTTCCAGAGCAAGGGACAAAGGGATTTGTGTACCGCTGGGGTAGGGAAAGGGGCAAAGCCACTTTGCCAGCCCTTTGGAAGGAGTGTGGCAGACCCCCAGCTCTGGGATGTCAGAGTGGAGTCTGGGTGGAGTGCAGCTGGAGCATGGCAAACAGCAGCGTGGCTGATGTGCTGTTCCAAACCCAGCAGCACCTTTGGGTTGGCTGCTCTTCTCTCACTTAAAAACTACAGTCTTTTGTCTGAAATTCCTCAGAACCAGGAGCAGAGACTCAGTTCTGTGTTTCCAAGGGAGGGAAAATGCACTTATTCCATCAGGAGTCATGGGGCACCACGTATTTGTGGTAATAGAAATTCCCTCTCCTTGCAAGCGCGTCCACACCAGGGGGTCAATGCACATCTCTCAGCTCTGTGTTTTGGCTTGGCTGGTCCATGTAGCAAGCGATGACCAAGAACACAGCAACCTAGATAAAGAAGAGCAGGTACTGTCTCTCCCAGAGACAAACTACAGATACCTGTGGGCTCCCTTGAAGCATAGGTGGTGGAGAATGGAAAAGTCCTGCACGTCTCCAGATGTGGCAGTGCTGTGGATGCGGGTGATGGGGCAGACCCCAAAGCCACCCCATATGTGAATGGGAGAGCTGGCCTTGCTGCTCAGAGGGCAATGCTGCTCAAGAGGGACTTGCCATTTGCTGAGTGCCCATGTGTGTGCTCGCACTGTCATGAAAATGAGGTCAAGGAAGGTCATTCGGTTCACCAGTATAAATCAAGGAGGAAAGTGGAGTGGAGGCTGTGAGCACTGGGGAGATGTCACTGGTGGGGGTGGCCGGGGGAGCAGGGGAAGGGCTGATGAGGCAGAGAATGCCACACGTGGGTGAAGCAGAAAATAACAGTGAATGAAAGCAGCCAAACGCTGGCAGCCCAAACAGAAGGCAGGAAGAGCCCAGCCTCAGGCCCTTCATCCTGCACTGTAACCAGTCAACCCCCAGCATCATTCCACCAGAGCAAGCAGAAGGGCTCCACACCCTCCAGCCCCAACCCACTGACAGGAAACCTTTCACTGGAAACTTGCTTGCATTCAGTGCAAAATGTCTCACTTCTGTTAGCAATTTGTTCCCCATCCCAAGCATTCCTGGGAGCAGCGTGGCGGGGCAGGAGATGAGCCAGGGGGGCTGCGTGGCTGCTTCCCCCGTGACCTGCTTAATATCATGGAGGAGCAGACAGCGGCCCTTTCATCACCTCCTGCTCTCCTCTGTGTCCCTCATTCCACCTTTCACCACTTCCCCCTTCATTTCTGTCTTTCTCCTCCCTTTTGCCAGCCTCCCTGTTCCCCTTATCCCTTTCCCTTCTTCTTTCATCCCTTTCTCGGTGCTTTTAGCATGTTTGGACCTCATGTTCTCTCCCCTTGTCTCCAGGCCTCATCACACCTCTGGCCCACCACCCTCTTGGCCATGGCAGAGCTCAGCACTTTTCTCCTTGTGCTTGGTCTGAGCCTCCGAAATGGGTTTTGTGATCAGTCTTCCCCCAGCACTCTCTGGACAGAAGTCTCCCTCTCTCCCTCATCCCTTCCCCCTCCTCTTTTTCTCCCTCACATAATATTTTCCATATGAAGAAGCCTTCCTGAAGCCGCACACTGCCCTCTTGGCGAGTCTTAGGCGGGTTAGAGGAGACCCTGGGAGCCTTTAATCCTCTCTCTCTCGCTTGCTTGCTTTCATCCTCAGCCACAGCTGGACGCCCCATTGATGTGGAACAGACCAAACACCAGGCCTCTCGCTAAGCTGCTGCTGTGGGGCCTCTTCTCCTTCAGAGCGAGCCGAGCCCGCAGCCCATGTCCTGCTCACAGAGTGCTTGTCCCGTGGGCCCCGCAGCCCCTGCAAGCACACAGCAAGCACCTCCTGCCTGCCCCCATACTCCCCCTCCCTACAGCTACTGCTTCCCCAGCCATCTGCTGCAACCTCCTCTTAAGAGCAGCCCTCACCTTCTCCCTTCTCCCAGCATCCCCCTTTCTCACGCTTATTGAGCATCGATTCCTCACTGCCCCGCATCCCTGCGGAGATGAGGATGAAGGACTGGTTCGTATTGCTTGTGCTCAAGAAGCAACTGGTGGCAATGCCGCCAGGAAGGGCCGGGCAGGCTCCATCAGCTGACAGGCAAGGTGTTAAGGCTGTAGCCTGCTCACCGCTTTGAGACAAGGGTCTCTGGCCGGCTGTGGAAGGTCCCTCTTAGGGCACACTGCAGGGTGGTGGTGGGAGGGATATCCAGCTCCTCTGAAAGCTTTGCAGTGTGCACAAGACGGGCGCACACGGGCACCTGCCTCCCAGAGCCAGGGGGGCCACAGGAGGGACGGACAAACCGCAGTGCCCAAGCACCCACAGGGACACAGCAACCGCCGTGCCCCGGGACCGGAGCGCAAACCACCGTGCCCGGTCCCGGGGCTATTCCCGGTCCTCGCCCGCCCCCTAGCGGCATGGCACCTCCACCGGAGCGTTCGGAATCCTGCGGGTTTCACGGCGATGGGAGTGAATCAACGGGCAGCAAGAATTTCTGAGCGTGTGGGTTTATCCTTGACTGGATGAAGAGCTCAACAGAAGCTTCAGGGGGACTCCAAGAAGACGGGCAGAAGAGGTGGGTTGATGAGAAGGGGGGAAAAAATGATCCAAGCTGCCAGAAACAACCTGGGAGGGAAAACTGCAAGGCTTGGGGGTGGTTATCCTGAAGGGAGGCAAGGCAGGTGTCACTGCATAAAAGGCAATGAAAGGGAATGATCTGTGCTCTGAGTTCTCAGGGGTATAAAGGGAGCGGGGCATGTAGATAGCAGGAGAGTCAGATGTTGGGAGAAGCTTCAAGCAAGCACTGGAACAGGTCACCAGGAGGATGCTGCGACTTAAATGAGTTAAACCGAGATCTTTAGAAATCACATTGAAACAGCTGATCCTACTGAGTGTCCCTGGGCTGGAGTAAGTGACCTCCTGAGATAACATTCACCTTTATTTGCTGTGATACTATAATTAAAAGCCATATTGATCCTTTGTCGGAGATGCAGCAAAAGGACCAACTTCGTTCCTTCCTTGCTGCTCCTTAGTGACCACCACGCTGGGTCTTGGACAGGCATCTCCTCATGACCCATCCTGGCACACCGTGCTGCTCTCCTCAAAGACAGGACACAGCAAATGCAGATGCTGTGGGAAGGGGGGAGGCATTGCAGTGGGCACAGATCTTGGCTGGGTTTGCAGCAACCAGTTGCAGCAACTGAGCTAATTGCAGACTCCTGGGGTTTGCTGTAGGAGAACAAGTGCATCCCCCCTTCTTGTTACTGAGCATCAAGTGCCTGATGAGAGAGGGATTTGGGGACAAGACAATGCAAAGTTATCTAGCACAAAATGATTAGCCAGAATGTATTGTTAATAAGCTGCTTATCCATATAATTGGAAATGATTTGCAGCCAGGGTGTCAGTACAGGCTCCTGCACTGCTCTGCTGGAGCGCAGCAGGTAGGTCCTGGCCCAGGGGAGACCCTGTGAGTGGCAGTGGAGGCATCTGCTGCTGTTCTGCTGCTCCACTGCCACTGCCTGAAGGGCACAGAAGGGCACAGGGATTTCAAGGGGAAGCAGAAGAGAATGTGTCAAGCCCCACTGACCAAGGGACATGTTTCCCAGTAGGGCAAGCACAAGGTGTCTGCAGAGTGAAGCAGAAGAATGAGCTGTCCTTACAGCAGCTGGAACAAGAGTGGGAGCTGATCGTTAAGATGCAGACTCACGGATCCTGAGGCATGGCAGACTAAGTGCATGGAGCACTGTACCTTTGATGCAGCACAAAAAGCAACTCTGAAGGGAAGGATCCCTCTGAAAGCCACTGTCAAAGAAAAGGAGAGTCTTTGGGAGGCAGCAAGGAAGCAAATGTACATGAAAGAGTTGCTAATAATTTTGGAACTGAGCTCATCCAAATGACAGCACTGTAATACTGTTTCAGCAGCCCCCAGTATGACTAGCAGAGCTTTACTATCACACACGACTGACACAGGCTTCTGTTTCCTTACCAAACCTTTTATATCTTCAGTCTTTTGAAGCCTCCACAGAGCCAGCTCAGGCCTGTTAACTATTCCATAGGGGGAATATAATTCCATATATATTTGTGCTCACTGTATCTCTAGACACAAAGCTTGAATAGGCATGAAAAGATCTGTCCTTGAGCACAGTACTAAGCTGTAACCAAAGCTGAAGAATCTCTTCATCTTTTGACAACCACAGTTTCCTGCCTGATCCCTCCACACACTGAACCACCAGCCATCACAAGCATTTATGCAGCACTGCGGCGGAGCTAGCATGAAGTCACACAACACCATGGCTTCCGTTTGCAAGGGACTGTTTTTTGCCTCCTGCTCCATAGACACACAGACTGAAACCAAGAGTGGACAGCCCAGGACTCATTGCCACCCCAGCTTTGAGGAGACCGTCCAGGAAGGGACTGGGCTGAGGACAACTTGGGAGCCCAGAGAGAAGAGCTAGGGCACAGCAAAGGACCTGCTCCATCCCCCATGGCTCAGGACAGCCCGAGGAGAACCCCAGTGCTGCTGCCCTGAGGGCAGAGTGTGAACATGGCCAGGTGAGAGCAGCAAAGAGCCTTTGCCCTCAGGACGGGCCAGGCTCTGCCCTCAGCCACTTCCGCAAATGCACCCTCAAATTTTCTTAATATCAGTCTCACAGCAAAATGTGGTGAAGTGTTTCCGTCGAAAGCAAGAGCTCAGGCACTTCCTCCACCAGCATCACTGTGATGCAGGAGGGCTCACAAGACAGACACTTCTGAACAGGACACGTTGGGCAGCCCCCAGCGATGCCCCTTCCCTGGGTTTGAGAAGAGCCATGGAGCTGAGAGCCCTCCTCCTGCTGCTGCTCTGCTTCCCAGGTAAGAAAGGGCTGGGCATGCCTCAGGCTTCCCATGAACCTAAGCGGGGGTCACCCTTCCCCACCTCCTGCTGCCTGGGGAGCTCCCCACTGGAATCCAGCACCGGCCAGACTTTGAGCTGAGCAACTCCCAGCAGGGATGGGAAGGGAAGGGGCAGCCCCAATTCCCACTATTGTTCCATTTAGGCTTGAAGGTCCAACACTTCCAGCACCTGTGAGTCTGTGGTTTTAAATCAATGATACTGGATTTTAAATCACAATGGTGGGCCCAGCTGAAATCTCAGCACTGCCCCCCAGAAATCAACCTTCAGGTCTCCAAGCAGGTGAATTTAGCCAGGAGCAATTTTGGTTTTCAGAGTTCCTCCAGCCATTAGTAGCCATGGGGGAAGGTCGCAGGCAGTTTCCCCAGGTCTTTTGGGAGGCAGAACGCAGCTTCCCTCTCCCTCACCACATCTGATATTTACAGGTTTTCAGGCCCAAATACTTAGGACTGAGGAGACACGCTCAGAAGGCAGCAGTCTGTACATCCAGTGTCCTTACACAGCACAGACTACCCACCAGCAGCAGAAAGCCTGGTGCCGCCTCAGAAACAGACAGTGTGAGCCCTTAGTGGTGACAAAAGAATACTCACACACAAACTGGGCCACAAAAGGGAGAGTCGCATTAAAGGACAACCCCACAGAGAGAACTGTGTCTGTCACCATGACTGAACTCCAGGCAGAGGACTCAGGCAGGTACTTCTGTGCTTACTACTCCTACGGGTATCATCAACTAAGGATGATCTCACTGTTTGTTTTCAAGGGTGAGTACCTTTTCCCCACAGAAAATCAAGCCATGTCAGAAAGCAACATCATTCCTTCCCTCCATCCCCACAGCTGAGCAGCTTCCCTGGACCCCCCCCTCTCTTGCCCCAGGCTTGCTCGCTGCCTTCCCCACTCATGCAGGCAAGAGTGTGAGGAAGCTCCACAGACCTGCGAGCTCTCAGCTCTCTTGTCCTCCCTTCCTCACCCCCTCCTTGAGGGACTGCTGTCCTTGAAGTAGCTGCCTCAGGGCACAGTTTGTCCCAGGCACCTACTGCTAATGGCCATGACCACATCTGCTGTTTCACAGAGCTGCATAAGTGGGAGTTGGACAGTGTCTCTGTGCAGTGCCTGCCCAGCACCCTGAACTACAGCTTGGGGACAAAAGTTTGGTGTCGAAGAGAAGATGAGACTTTGTGTAGTTTCATAGTGAGGACAGACTACTCTTCAACACAGCATAACAGCAAAGCTCTGGAAGACCGAACATTGATCCAGGATGACACCCAGAAAAGGACTGTCACAATCACCATGCAGAAGCTGCAGGCTGAGGACTCCGGCATGTACTGGTGTGCGCTCTACAGAAGGTCTTCTCTCACCTGGCTCATGGAGGTCAGGCTCTCTGTCTTCAAGAGTGAGTACCTACTGGTAGCCAGGTGTGGATGTCTCCAGACTTCAGCCCCAGTTCCCATTTGTTCTCCCTCCCATCCTGTGCCACAGCATCGGAGCCCAGCACTGCCACCACACAGCTCACACCCATTGCTCTATCTCTCTGGCAGACACACTGGCAGCTCCCCCTTGGGCCTGTGGAACCAAGGCCCAGGCCTGGCCCTTCGTGCTCTGTCTGCTCCCAGCAGAGACTCAGGGGAGGTTCCCAGGAGCTCCCACAAATGGTGCCACTCTTCACAAGTGCTTCCCACAGGGCCGATCCAGCGGCTCCAGAAGCAGCTTCTCCAGCTCAGCACTGGGCTTGCCCATGCTGGGCACTGCTGGAGACCAATCCCACTGCCAGGCGTTGCTCTTGATCTGGCCCTACAGCTGCCATCCCTCCCCAGTCCTTGCCTCCCAGGCCCTATGGGCTGAGTGCCCATGAGCGTGCAGTCCCTGGGGGAACCAGAGGAAGGGGGCACGCATTTGTGACTCACCTCTGCATGTGTAATGTGGGTCCAGGCCCCTTCTGCTCCTCATGTCTGGAGGTAGAGGATCTAGGGAGCATTCAGCCCACAGCAGTGTTCCAGTGATGGTATTGTGCCTGCTCTGGGGTCTCACCAAACATGGTGGGTGTTTTCCAGGGACCAAACAATACACAGCCAAGGAATCAGGCGATGTCTCTGTCCAGTGTCCATACAGTGTCCCAGAGTACAGGGCTGTGAGCAAAGCCTGGTGTAAAGAGGGAGCAAGGAAATCATGTACAGTGCTAGTCACCACCAACAGCCTGGAGTACCAGAGGACACCTCAGCAAGGCAGAGTCAGGATCCAGGACGACACGGAGCAGGGGATTGTCACTGTCACCATGGAGAGACTGCAGGCGCAGGACACCGGTGTGTACTGGTGTGCACTTTACGAACATGCTCATCTCTTCCGAATGCTGGAGGTCACACTTAATGTTTCTGAGGGTGAGTACTGACCTGTAGGGAAACATGGTTGGTTGTAGTTTCCAAACTCACTTTCCTACCCTTTCCCTCTGGGCTCTGCACTGCCCAGCTCACACCACCTCCCACATTACATCTGCACGTGTCTGCTTGCCCAAGCCCTATGTCACGGTACCTTCTCATACCAGCCCTGCTATGGAATAGCAGCAGGGATCAGAACTGGAGCAAACGTGTGTGCTGTGTTGCTTTACTTCCACCTGAGAGCAGCTTCAATTATCCTCACAGAGGTGTTTCTGTCACTCATTGTCATGATACCAGTTCTGCCCCTTTATAGCAACTTGTCCCTTGGCTTTCAAAGACTATTAAGACTTTCACATTTGGTTGCCAAGGGGACAACCTGTAGACCCATATTTTAAAGACTTCTGTCTGCTAGATTTTGTTTCAGCATGATGTTTTAAGAGTATGTGCTAGCACTTCAGCACCTGATTGTGGCAGGCCATGCTGCAGCCTGCCTTTTCAGGCATGTGGCGGAGCAGCGGTGCAGGGATACGGCAATCCAGAAGATGAGAGGGGATGCTATCATTCTTTAGGTGAAAATCCTACCAGGATTCCTAGGACTGAGTGCAGGCTCTGAGCCAGCAGCCTCCTGCAGGCACAACCTTCCCTGGGCATGGAACAGGCCTGGAAGCAGCTCTTACAACTGGGTCTTGCACAGCCAATGTTCTTTCTTTGCTTAGTTTTCACAAGCCTCTGTCTGCTTAAGCAGAGTCATTAAGTTCATCATTGCTACCTCAAGATCTTGCCCATAGAGCAGATGTGCTTGCACTGAGAGCATGTAGGGCTCCTGCTGTGCTCCTGCCCCTCCCTCCCATATTCTGATCCTTCTAGTCCCATCCCTGCTGCCAGAATGTGTCCCAATGACACAAGTTACAGCCCAGGCAGCTTCCCTGTGCAGGGTGTCGCAGTGGGAATGCATTTATATCCATGGTGGGAATGGCAGGGAAGTTCAGCTGGTGAATGCAAAGCAACTCAGTAGTGGTAATTCTCTTCATGTTGTGCTTGCAGTACTGGCTGGAACAACTTTGCCAGGAGCTGCAGGCACAAGTCAAGCAACCCCTGCTGCCAACAGCCCAGCCCCGAGGTAAGGCCTGCAGAAAGTCTCTGAGCTTGACCACATACAAGAGTTACCAGTGTCTCCTCCAAAATACATGTGTCTGCCTGGGGCAGGCAGCCTCTGGGCATCCTGCTCCCAGAGGAATTACACACCACGGTCCTTACCAAAGATGGCACCTCCTCTTCCAGCTCCTGCCCAGGGTATAATTACAAAGGAAGATCAAGAGACAGCTTTCTGGAATGTAGATGCCTATTTACCTTTTTATCCTATCTTTGCACTGTGCTTTTTGTAGCCATAGAAACCCCCAGAGTCTGCCCCTAAGCCTTTCTGTCTCAACTTTGCTTACTCCTGGCCATGAATATTTAACAATGAAATAGTCCTTGGCTGCTGTTTTATCCTTCTATTTACCAGGCTGTTAAATAGAAAGGATTTTCTTCCCGTTTGGACATCTGCTGTCATCGACACTACAGCAGCACCTAAGAGTACAACCATACATCAGCTCAGGTGAAGCAAAACACGGGGGGGGAAAGGCAGTACCTGCTCCAGAGAGCTGGTACTGTGCTCTGAACTTTGAACAGTGCCTCGTTTTTAAAGCCTGGAGAATAGTTTAGGAAAAGCTTAGAAGGCACAGCCACAGAGAAACCAAGAGAGCATTGCTGCAGGAGAACCAGGCCCTCCTTTCAAGTGCATAAAACCTCGGGCATTAAAGCTATTCCTGTCTCTTTTGTGGTCACAGCTTGATAATGGGCTGCAACAGCATCACGCTGTGCTACTGTCTAACACTGGTAACTCCTTTGCTCTCCTGGCTTCAGCTCAAATGGAAACACCATCCTGCTGTCTGGGATCCTGAGCATCCTGTTCTTCCTGGCACTCATCAGCTTGGTAACACTGTATGTCAGGCGCTGCAAGCAGCTGAACGCAACAGGTATGTGGAGTCTGGTAATGCCTTGTGTTCTAGTCTGGACTAAGCAGGGCCTTTCCTGGCCATCTCTCTTCCACTCCGGGTGAGCTTATTCCCAACTCACAGTCCCCTGGAGAAGATGAGGCAGCTGCTGCCTGGGAAGCCTCAAGGCAGGCTCTTTGCTGTGAGCTCCTCTGACAATAAGACAAACCCATGTTCCTCCAGACTCTGCACGTGACACTTCCTAACATGACAGAGAAGTAAAGTGGGAGCAATGTGGTAGATGGGTCCCACGGGTACCCCCATTGCTTCTATCTCTGGGCAATCCCACAGCCTTCCCTCAAACTCCTGAAGCTTAGGCAATGCCCAGGCATTTCATGGACTTCTCTACTTTTACAATCTCTGATTTTAGCTCATTCCAAAGGGAACAGAGATGGAGAGGACACCTATGAGAAACCAGGCAACACAGCCCAGGTAAGGAAAACGTCAGATATTCCCTGTGGTACCAAATTCCTTACCAATGGTCTGATAACAGCTGAATCACACAAACAAGTGTTTTACCTTTCTTTCCATAGCCTGACAGCTATGAAAGACTGCCAAGTCCCAGAGACAACAGCAAAGACCTAAAGTATGTCACCCTGAACTTTAAATCCCGGCTCAGCCCTGAGGATCCTCTCTACTGTAATGTTGAACTAAGTGAGGTTCTCAGGAAACCCAAGGATGAAAACGTGGAATATGCTACCATTGCGGTCAAGCAGTTAACAACGAATGACAAGGGATGAAGCACAGAATCCCAAAACAATCCAGAAATGGGAGAAAAGTACTGGAATACAAAGTGGGAATGGGGAGTAGAAGGTGTGTGGATGGACACTGGGGGTAGATCTAAGGTTTTGCTGCCATGTGTATGTTGCCTATGCATTTGTCCTGGGTTTAGCAGTAGCAGTCATTTTTCTCCTTCTTGGTAGCTGGTGCAGCGCTGTGTTTTGACTTTCAGCCTGGGAACAGTGCTGATAACACCGATGGTTTCAGTTGTTGCTAAGTGATGTTTACCCTGACCAAGGACTTTGTGAGGCTCATGCTCTGCCAGGGAGGAGGGGAAGCTGGGAGGAAGCAGAGACAGGACACCTGACCCAAGCTAGCCAAAGAGGTGTTCCATACCACAGCACATCATGCCTGGGGGGGTAACTGGGAGTTACCCAGAAGGACACGGGGTCTTCTGGGTCGGACTCGTTTTTCAGCAGGTGGCATCGTTTTCTCTTCCCTTGTTATTTTCTCTTATCATTGTTGTCATTGTTGTCATTGCTGGTAGCAGTGGTGATTTGTGTTGTACATTGGTTGCTGGACTGTTCTTGTCTCAACCCGTGGGAGTTGCATTCTTTCCATTCTCCTCCCCATCCCCCCAGGAGTGGGGAAGAGGGGGGGGTAAGGGAAGGAAAGAAAGAGGGAGGAAAAAGGGGGGAATGAGTGAACAAGCTGGCTGGCTGGGTTTAAACCATGACAGCATTTTAAGACCTCCCTCCTATTAGGAGAAGAGACTGACCCCTCTTTGCTACAACCTCCTTTCAGGGAGTTGTAGAGAGCGAGGTCACCCCTGAGCCCCCTTTCTGCAGCTGAACACCCCCAGTTCCCTCAGCTGCTCCTCACAGACAGGTTCTGCAGAGCTTTCACCACAGAAAACAAGCTCTTGGGGCTTTCATGCAGCTTCATGGGAGAGCACCCCTTGGAAAGTGATGCCATTACTTCCCTCTCTCTGCTGGAAACACTCCAGATGACACATCTGCTGCCTTGACTTAGCAGTCATGTGGTGAGCAATGTGCAGTGAGTTTGCTGGGGCTCAGCTCCATTTCTCCAAAAGATCAGAAACTCTGGCACTTGATTTAGCTGCACCCAGCTCTGCAGGAGCCTGAGCCCACTCCTCTTCACAAGCCAGTCACATCCAAAAGGCTTCTCTTGCTATGGCTGCAGCAGGGAAGCTGATGTATTTCTTGAGATTTTCAGAGTTGAAATGACAGCAAGAAAAAGAAAATGGTTCTGGAAATAGTTCCTTCAGGCCTAGATTCCCTAAACTATTTGCTATTCATGCAGTCAGTTACACTGGGTTGAACAGTGTAAGAGTAAGAGTGAAAAACAATTGAGTGGAAGAGAGACATTTTCAGGAAGACAGCTGCTTCTGATCAAAGAGAACCCAAAATTGTGCTCACTGGAGCAGGAATGAACAAAACCTGCAAGCAGCCAGCCTCAGGGAGACTGTCTGGACACTGTGAGGTACCATTTCCTTAAGCTGTAATTAGAGGAAAGAAAAAGAAGGCACTTCTGAATGGAGAGAAGTGTGGGGTTTATCTGCCTGTGAAGCAGATAAGCACACACGTTACCAAGGGTCTACTTGTACTTTCGTTTACTCCAAGTAAATAACTTCAAGAAAGAAAAACCAGCACCATCCACAGCCTACCAGCCTGCTGCCATCACAGGAGGCTCCAACTGCCCTCCTGAGCACTGACTGCCTCCGAGTCAGTGCCCCCATGCCACGATCTGTGCTTTCTGCTCCATACAAAATAAAGATGTCTGGTTTGCTCACATAAAGCACCTCACAGCTTCACCCGACACCGTGTTCTTGTCTTCTTGCCTTTGGTTAGGTGTCAGATAGGAATGCTTCATGTGAAGGCTCTTCTAAACCTTCTTTCTCCTGAAAATAACCCACAAGGGGATGTCCTTGCCCACCTCTCAGCCTTGTGATGCTGCCTGAGCTACCTGCAGTCTCCGTGAGAGCCACCTTTCCCTTTTGACTTTGCAGGAATTCACTCCATGCAAAGCCTGCTCTGGTGGACAGGCTCCAAGGCTGGGCTGGGAGGGGCTCCCAGCACCACATTTTCAGGCCATCACATGATGCTCTCTTTCAGGCTGTCTAGACTAAACTGTGGTTGTGCATGGGCAGTGCTGATGCCTGAATTTGCAGCCCACGGAAGAATTGTCCATCCCTGGTGAATTGCTCAATATGCAGGACAAAAAAGATGCCAAGTTCCTGTGCTCATTCCTTCCGGCAGAGCAAGGAGGGGGCAAAGCAAGCTGCTCTTGGGCAAGAGCCCTTTCCACTTTTCTCCAGACTCCTCTCCTGCCTCCTCTGCTCAGCTGACATGGAGAAGCTCGTGCACCTCATCTTCTTGGTCTCCTTACCAGGTAAGAAAGCATACATGGCCTTGGGTTTCAGTTAACAGGTAGGGTGAAGGATTGATGCAGAACTTGGGCTAGGGTACCTTTGGTAGGGTAAAGACTCTTCCTGCCTGCCTGAGCACTGCAAGGTCCAGGGCAATGCACGCAGAGGGACGCTGGAACACTGCAGTGTGTTCTACATTCTATTCTTCCTCCCCACTTACACTGCAGGGATGCCAGACTCCTTCCTAAGAGTTTGTGCTTTTCCATTCATTTACCAAAGGGTGATCCAAGTGCTCAGCTTTTCCCACCGGGATCCTTTTGAGTCAGACAGGAAGCACTGCTGACAGAAGTCCTGGGTGAAACTGCAAAATCCTGTTAATGCCCATTTGTAGGGCTTGGAATATAAATTGCAGCAGGCAGGTTTGAGAGGAGGCAAAGAAAGCTCAGCAAAGGGGACTTGGACACTTGACTATGTTCAGCTTGGGAAGGACCCAGGACAAGGCACAGGACCGAGCTGGCAGCCCTCTCCCTCCAGGCACACTTTGGAGGTCCCAGGTACTTACAGCAATGCACAGAAGGGCATTGGTGAAAGGTTCAGGCTTTGGGAGTGCAGAAACCTGCCTCAAAAATCTGAATGAGTTTGGGAAAGTAGTGCCCTATCCTTTTTTCAGTAGCACAGACGAAGGGAAGAGGAATACAAATAGTAAGTGATGTGTCAGCAGAATTGGTTGAAAAGAGGATGACACAAAGTGTTCCACAGGGGCATCAGCAAGTTTATAAATGCCATGATTTGGATGAAGAGATTTTTTTTGCAGTGCTGTTTCTATTTAAAACAAAGCCAAAGCCCCAAACCCTGGGGCCACTCCTGGAACTGGAGGGGCAGAATCGAAGGTGAAGAGGGGGTAACGAGGGATAGGAGAGGGAGTTAAAGTGCTTTGAGGGATTGCACAGGACAGGACTGGACATGTCGGGGGTAAACCTCAGCTGAAATAAATGAGGAGGGCAACAGATCAGGATAAAGACCTGAGTGTGTTGGAGAGCACTAATGCGTATTTTTGCCTTCTAGTCAAGCTGAAAGATCTTCAGATTTGTTTAGTTTACAGTTCACTTAGAATGGTTAAAATGATTTTAAGAAGTGTTATTAAAAGGCTTAGCCAGCCCAAAGTCTGGCTTTTTAATTTCTTTCTGTGTTATCGTCACTTCTGTTTCACAGAAGGCACCAACATCTGAATTTCTTCACTAGAAATAACAGGGATTTCCACAAATACTACACTGCACTTCTCTCTGGAAGTATGAATAGCTCAGACTGCCCCCTCTGCCTCTGCCAACCATCAAGAGGAATGGAGATTACGAATAAGGAGCTAAGACCAAATAAAAAGCCAAGCAGCCACAGACCAGTTGTCAACATAATAAAAATTAGCAGGATATTAAAAGATAGGGTGAAAAAAAAAAAAGCTAAACCTCTAGATTTAGAAATTAGGAGTGGGATTAAGAAATAACCTCCTAAGCAGTTAGCTGGGCATGGGTTTGGAGGTGTCACAGTGATTTTAGTATTTCCAGAGCTGTGTAAAGAGCCTTAAACCTCACGGGCCTTTACGGCAAAGGAGCTTTTCTGCAGCAGAGGGTATTCCAGAGCCAACTCTGCATCTGTTAACATGCGTGGAAGTGCTCAAGGCCAAATCCTGAAGCGGGCTGCCTTGCCGCAGCTGGACATGGCAAAGCAGGGATGCCACAGCCCAATAAGAGGCACACACAGCTTGGCAACATCGGTTTAGGAGCTGCCTTGTAAAAAGAGCTTTTAAAAAGCAGGACAACTTGTGTGGTGCCAACTCAGTCTACCTAAATGCCCAGCTTCATGCTCCTCCTTCTCTCCTAGCAGCCTGTGCAGCAGAGAATATCACTGTGGTGTATGGAATGGAGGGGGACACCATTTCTGTCAACTGCACCTATAACCCCTGGCAGCAGCGATGGAGAGAAAAGAGTTGGTGCAAGCAGATCCATGAGACCAAGTGCCAACACGTGGTGAGTGCCCGACGCTTCTGGCTGCCTTTCCTAAAGAACAGGAATGGCACCACCTCTATCAGTGACAACGTCCGTGAAGGGGTCCTGACAGTCACCATAAAGGGACTCAAGAAGCAGGATGCTGGGTTGTACCAGTGCAAAAGTGACTACCTGGGGGAAACAAACAGCTTAAGGAAGGTGCAAGTGGAAGTGCTGACAGGTATGTCCCGAGGCTCTGAGTTCACAGGTTCTGCAGATGCCAAGGCCTCACTTCAGTAAACATCTATTTGTGTCTTACTCTAAGGAAGAACTGTGTTTCATTGCCTCTTTTTAGTTCCTGATTTACAGTAACATGACCTCACTTTTACAGGACATCCCTTTTACATGTCATCCCTTTATTGCTACCCAGATTAACCTTCTAAAAGCTAGCCCAGTGGCTAGTCTCCCCTTGGTTACCTGTGCCTTGCAGGGGCACTGGTGTAGGTGACACCAATGAGCATCACCCACAAACATCTGCAGACTAAACTGTTCTGTTTCTGTCATCAGCTGTCCTGGAGACTCAAATGCCAGAGGAGCCCAGGGCTGTGCACAGCATCTCCAGGTAAACCACAGAACTCCTCATGCTGTGATCTCTGATATTCCTAGGACTAAGGCAGATTAGCATTGGCAACCCTATTAGAAGTTGAGAGGAACAGCACCACAGGCATAGTTTCTACCTGTTCCTAATCCATGACAATTCCTAGAGCTGCTGTGTGGTTTCTAAGGTTTTTATCCTAATTTAGAAAACACAGTGCTTAAGTGTCAAGCAAAACAAATCCTGAAGATCATAATTTTATCTGTATGTGAGATAACCAGGCTCTGTTGTGCACAGGCAGGGACTGCCTGTTGCACATGTTACCATCTTCACATTTGTACTATGAGTTTCTTTAATGCTGTCTTTCAAAAGTTGAACCATCCCCTTCACTGTTGTATTTGTGGTTCCCCACAGCATCCCTCCTGAAGCTGATTTCACTGTCTTCTATATCCTTGCTGGATTACTGGTTTCTAAGTTCCTGGTGGCTGTGCTGATCTTTATCATTGGCAACAGCAGGAAGAGCAGAGAAACAGAGTGGACGAACCCAAGGCTGAGTGAGCAGCAGGTCCTTCCTTTCGCTGGTGATGGAATCAGCCCCTCCTGGGACAGCACTGCTTAGAGCCACACCAAAGGGAGGTCACAGGGAAATGACCATCAAATGTTTGCAGGCAAAGCTTTGCCACCTGCTGTAAGAAAAGAATCGCCTACTAAACATAGGTGCCGCTGAACCTGTCGCTCTGGAGAGGGAATGTCACCATCTGCCACCTCTTCTTAGCGATGACCAACTTTTCCCAGCACAACTGAACTGAAAAGATGCTGCCAGTAGCACCCAAACCTAAAGGAAGAGGATGGGATGGGATCGAGGGCTGGGGGAAAAGAGGAACATGAACTCTTTCTGTCAAGAGATCCAAGAACCTTTTCCTGATTCATGGAAATCAGTGATAAAGAACTGATCCAGGTTTCCCATTTGATCTCTAGTGATCACCCTTCTCAGACTAGGGCTGGTTATTTCCTTGTCTTCAGTTTTTTTCAAGGTGTCCTACATGTTTCCACAAAACGCTCAAAGGCTTTCCCCGAAAGCACAACCAGAACTAGACGGCTTCTACTGAAAGCTAAGATTTGTCTAAAAATCAGTATTTTAACCGAGATTCCACTCTTTAAAGCCTTTGGGAATGCAGTGCTCTGCTGTGCTCTCCAGCAGCAGCACCATCAGGCAGTTATTCCAGATACTCATCCCCCTATCATTTCACCAGGGTCTGCATTGAGACCCACCAACTTCGGGCCATTTCAGAGCAGTGCCAGGTGACAGATCCTGTCTTTCCAAGGTGATGAAGACTAACTCCCAGAAACTGCCTTGAACACTGTGTGGATCCTTGGTGAAGTCACTGTGGAAAGGTGCAAGGGACTGTGGAACATAACAGAATGGAATGGGAAGTCTCCCTGCAGCCCTGAGCCTGCTTCCTTCTTTCTCAAAACACAAAGTTCTCTTTGCAAGGACAGAATGAACTGGCTCTCTGTATTTCTCCCTGTATTTTTTCTACCCTCTTAAGGGGATGTTTACTAACACGTGATCATTGCTCATCGTTCCCCAAAGTGAGGTTGCACTTTGCTCTCCCAGAAAGACCCCAAACCCAAGGGCATTCACATTCTTTTCCCTGCACTGCTTGCAAAGCTAAATAAAATCAAACTGATTATCTGACTTTGTGTGGAGCCATGATGAAGAGCTGCAGTACACGAGGTCACAGCACATCACCCAAAGAAGAGGTGACACTTAGAATGTGCTGGTGTGTTTATGCTCTGCAGAAGTGCTCTGACCCAGCTGGGCAGGTTGGTATATGCACCCCACTTAGCACCATGCAGAAACAGCAGTTCAGATCCCAAACCAGATAAGGCACTCCATGGTTGTGCTCTGGCTAAACTCATTTCCAGAGGCTAAATTAGCCCATCCACAGCCACACACCACTGCAGATGTAGTGACAAAACCTGGCTTCAGTATTCCCACATGGTAACTGTGGTGCCCTGGAATCATGGCAGGACTCCCAAGAGAGAATTCTGGCACGTTTCTCTATGGGTGATGTGAAAAATATTCTGCTGGAAAGAATACAGGTAGTGGTTTCACTTGAGGGTGAGCTACAAGGTGAACAGCGCACAGGGTGGGAGACAGCTAAATCAAGAATGATGTGTCACTTCCATTTTTGCTTTACAGCAAAAGGTGGTGTACCAAGACATAAAGATCCCACTAGAGGTTATCAAGGACAGGGTAAAACTCCATTATATAGTTCAACACAGAACCACAATATGTACCTGTATGTATCTAGAGGCAGAAGTGGCCAGGAAATTATTTTTTGCCATATGAAATAAAAAAGTCTCAAAGGAAATAAAAAGAAAATAATATTTTATGGATTCCCATCAAAACCACTGAATACCATTTTGTAGGACTGTATTAATCAAAACCAAATGGGTTTGGGACAGCAATTTTTCAAGTCAATGAGAACTAAAAAACAGCTTTTGCACAAATGTTTCCATTCAGTTAAAAGTGTTTTCCAGTCACAGAAACCTTTCACACAGAAAAGCTTTGATAACTCATGTAGAAGACCTGTATAAGGCATAAGAAATCAGCTGAGGGGTCCCAGGGAACCTGAGAGCAGCCCTGGAGCCTGACAGCCCCTGCCCACAAAGGGCAGCAGGGATCCAGATTTCCCATTTGCCACCCCAACTTCATCTCCAGTGATCATCATCCTGGGGATGCTTATTTCCTTGTCCTCTGTGAGTTCTCTTTGTGCTGGTGTTAGCTCTGCTTCTTCATTGCATGAGATGGACACGCCATGAGGATACAGCTCCCCATTCTGGAACTGAAAACAGGTCCACCTCAGCAAAGCAGCCCAAAGCCTTGGGCTTAGTCACAGAATTTTGCTAAACTTACCAATTTGTAACCAACTGCTGAGGTCGGATGTGTCTGGGGTGTGAGGCAGAACAGAGCTGAAATGTTGAGAAACATGGATCCACAAACTTTCCCTGACAAAAATACCTGCACTTTCTAATAGTCCAGCATCCCAGTTTTGGTAAGCAAATCTAGTGGGAGCCTAGGGTGTATTTTTTTTCCAAATCACTCTATTTTTAAACAATAGGCAACTATAAACCCAAATACAGGAAACTACTTCTCTCTGGTAGCAACTGATACAGTGCCAGTCACTGGAGGGCTTGAAACACACAAGTAATGCACTTGACGTGTTTTAGTAAACAAGGGTCCTGTGGAAAAACATTTGTCTACTTTATAGTATAAACTGCCTTCAGTTTGAACACATGGGTGTAGAATTTACACCCAAAATTAGTTATTTTGACAAAGAAATAACTCCGTATTTCCTTGCCTTTGGTGCTTGTTAATCATACCACACCCATGCTGCAATATAAACCCGTAATAAATTACACACACACTGATTGACCTCCTCAATCCTGTTATCATGACGCTATCTGCAAACGTTCATTAGGGATTATGGATAAATCCCAAAAGCCATCTGACTGAGATTTTCATCTGCATTCTATGAGCTGGAGCCCGAGGGTGCCAAATATGGTACAAAAATAGGTTTAATGTTTTGGTATTAAGATCCCAAGAAGACTCCAACCTCAGTACTGGGTGGCATGGGAGGAAAAGGAACATGAAAAGGCAGAGAACACATCCATGAAGCACAGAAACTCCACTCTGCCTGCCTGCGAGTGCTTGTACAATCCTGAAGGGGGAAGAGGGGTAGGGAAGAAGGAAATTGTGTTGACTGGTCTGGTGTGGCTACATGACAGGAAGCTTTTTGCCATTAATAATAGCTAAAGAAACGTATTTCTGGCTTCCTAAACAGGCTTGCACGAGTGCATCCCTCCCTTCCTGTGCCAGCTTCCCATTTTCTGTTCTTGCATGCTGCTATTTTTAATTTTTCCGAGCTTACCCCACACCAGCTGCATTAACCAGCTCTGTTAAAATGAATGGCTGACACCCTTGTGCTTTGGGTCACTTTTGAGCTGTCTGAAGTGTTGGTGTGGGGACCATACCATTAAGGTCTGACATGATGCACAACAGCAGCGACCAACAGTTAATGTAAGAGGCTGCAGCACACAAATCTGACTCCTTATTTATCCTACTTGTCTGTTTGAAAGCACCTGAACCTTTGCCTGCATAGACCCTCATCAGGATGCAATGGCATACACAGTGACAAGACTGGGGGCCTTCGATCCTAAAGTAATAGAAGATGAATAACCAACTTAATAGAGAAGCTCACTGGTGCACACGTCTTTCTGCCTAAAAAGCTGAAGATGATCTGCTATCATATGAGAAATTCAAGGGTGTTTCTAGGGACAGTTTATCTCTATGGATGTTGTCAGTCCCCTGTCACAAACTATCAAAATGTAACTGCCTGATTTAAAATAAAGACACAAGAAACATTGTCAAATCTTCCTAAATCTGTAACATCTTACAGGTATTTTCCTTCTGTGCATATGATGGAGACTTGCTCGTAACCTGAACTGCCTATAATGAAGGAAGAATTATCTTCAGACCCAATTTAAATGGGCATCTTTGGTAGCTAAGTTTGGAAAGCACCAGCAGCCCACCCAATCCACTTCTGTTGAGCTGTGGAACCACATTCAGGAATGGTTTAATGGGTACGAGCAGCCTCTGACCATTTGAGACATGACAAACCTTGCTGTGTCTTCAGATAAGCCTGTCAGAGACAGCTGGTTAGAGACCTAGTTCTGGTTTGGCTGTTGAATAATGGTATAAACACATACCTGGCTAATGTCTCACACGTCCTCCCGGCTTCTCCCTCCTTTGATGGCAACAGGAAGACAAGTTGCAGCGCCCAAGGAACTGGCTGCATCAGATGGACAGAGCACAGGATGTTAAGAGGACAGGAGTTTCTTCTAGGACTAAGGCCTCATAGCAGCCTTCCAGTATCTAAAGGGGGCCTATAGGGAAGCTGGGGAGGGACTCTTCATTAGGGACTGCAGTGACAGGACAAGGGGTAACGGGTTAAAACTTAAACAGGGGAAGTTTAGATTGGATCTAAGGAGGAAATTCTTTCCTGTGAGGGTGGTGAGGCACTGGAATGGGTTGCCCAGGGAAGCTGTGAATGCTCCATCCCTCGCAGTGTTCAAGGCCAGGCTGGACGAGGCCTTGGGTGCCATGGTTTAGTGTGAGGTGTCCCTGCCCATGGCAGGGGGGTTGGAACTGGATAATCTTAAGGTCCTTTCCAACCCAAACTATTCTATGATTCTATTAATCAATACCTTCCATTTGGTGCCTCAAAAGGTCTCTTCTGTCCTTCTAGTTAAAACTCACTCCAAATGTAAGATAGCTGCTGAAACAGTTATTTGTTTCTTGTCTCACTTCAAAAGCAGTAAACGCTAAGAGGACTGTTTTAATCTCCGATAGGGAGTACACAAATACAGAACTGATGGTTGGGCACCTTCCTCTGGTACCTGCTGCTAACTGCTAAGAGCACTGCCCTAAGTGCACTATAAGAACCTAACAATCGTATAATAAATCATACTCCCTGGGCTCTGAGTGGGGAGGCAAAGCCTTCTCCTACCCCTTGGCAGCCCCTCCTCAGACACAACCCACCCCACAGCCGCCATCTTGAGACACTGCTTTCCTCAGGCTGTGAGGAAGAGTGCTCTTCACCAGCCAATCAGAGGTGTCCCAGAGCAGCCCCCAGCCAATGAGCACCCTCAGCCTGGCCCCAAGGGCGGGCACAGCAGTGCCTCAGGCAGCAAGATGGCGGATGGGCATGGAGCAGAGGAACACCAAGATGTCCGCTGCCCACAACCTTCCCTCATGGAGGGCGAGAGAGCTCAGCGGCTGCTGGGTGCTCCTCAGCACTGCCTGCCCTGCCCCGTGTCACCGCTGCCGCTTGGCTCAAGAGGTCTGAAAAAGCAGCAAAGCTTGTTCTTGGTTTATAAACTTTTATTAGCTGCAGAGTGTACACAGTACTTACAATTGCATCTATTAAAGACCGAAATACACCTGAAAAAATGCATTATATAAAAAAAATTATAAACTTTTAACTATATACAAACTTTGCCTCACGTTTCATTCCTTTCGGTACCCTCCCCACACCCATTCACAAAGAGAAGACTCCTCTCGCCCCCTTTTAACATGCAGGGCCTTACAGCCGCGTGGCATCGCCTGGGGACCGCTTTCCAAACCCCGTTCTTCACACTCCCATTAAACTGGTTTTTGATCGGTTCGCCACTCCAGTGCTCTCTGGGTCAATCGACCACAATTATGCCCGAGCCTCTTCCTTTATCCTCTCTTTTACGCTCTCCGAAATGGGAGGATCTGATCAAGTGTAGCAAATCTACAAAGAATTCCCGTTTAATTACTAGAGAGGTTTGAACTTGATGACGTCTCCAATTTAACCCATTTACCCAGGAAAAGAAAGCAGTTTTGGTAAACATGGTGTTGACCGATAACTCCAGTCTCGCCAAGCAAACACTACTTTTAGAAGTGATACATATAACCCAAAGCAAAGGAAAAACAGGACAGTAGCACTCAGGCTTTCACATCACTACTGAAAGTATTAACAATAAGACTTCCTATGTAACACAAATCCAGAGGTCTTAACACACATTCTACAACAACGGGTCAGAAAACCTATATAGAAGAGCTTAGTGGGAAAAACATCCTAGCTGCTTTGAAGTTTACAAGTTCTTTAAGAAAAGAAGAAATTATTCATTAAAAAAAATACCTGTCAGAGCAATAATCTTGCTTTCCTGACTTCCAATTTTCAGAAGGAGCTCTCCAGGACAGAGATCAGCTGTGACCTGAAGAGCAGAAACGTTATGGAGAGGCTGTCTTACTCCAGCACAGAAATAAGCCTCCAGCACATGAATATTTCACTGACCAACTGTACAGATGCGCTTAAAAAATATTTACAATAATGCTGCAAATTCAAATAAAGCAGATTTTTTCTTTGTTAGTCCTTCACTAAGAGAGCTACGTATTTCCTGAAATGGGTGAGCATTTCATAGTCGCCAACTGAAGAACAGAAGCACCGTGCTCAAACTGGGCAAGTATTTTAAGGCAGAAGCAACCAACAGCACCAAAGATGCCATTAATGCAATGGAGGTAAACAAATGCCTTTTCAACCACTAGGGAAAACCCCTAACGTTAAGATTTGTGAGCAGAGCCTTAGGTAACTCATAGCATTTAACAGATTTATTTGCATGTCAAGAACTGGCCACCACCTCCCATAGCCGCAGGCGTCAACCGTGTGCCCAAGCTTCCTCCTCAGCCTCAGTTCACCACATCAGCAGTGGTAAGGGCAGGAACATGGCACTAAAGCTTCAGGAAAATGAACTGAACTGCACTGAGAAAATCCAGCTGCCTGCTACAAATGCCAGATCTGCATTGCTGTGTTCTTTCACTGGCTATGTACCTCCATGGGTGGCTGACCTAAATGCTGTCATCCTTAATATCTTGACATGCTCTTCCTCCAAGATTGCCTGTTGGCAATGTAGAATGTAGCATTTCTCCACATTTCTGCTCCCTCTTCTTGCATTCCTTCCCACCTTTTCACACTCTTAGGTCCAGAATTTCTCTTTCTTATCTAAAGTAAATAGAATTTCCAAGGCTCTGTCCTTTTGTATCCTCTCAGTCTTCTACAGTTTGCTGATTTGTCCTCCATTTTGTACTTAGTCATAAGCTTTAAGTGAATGTGAAAAGCAGAGGGGACAAGAAATAATAAGGGCTGGTTTTTTTTTCAAGCTGCATTTACTTGAAAACAGAATTCACTGACTTTAAACCAGTCTCACCCATCCTTGGCTGCCTTCCTCGAACCCATACTGGCCACTGCAGCTTTACCTATTGGGTTCATCACTACCTCCTCAGTGACAATGCCTGGCAATACTGCCAATCCCATGCTCAACTCCTGGCAGTTTTGTGTTTGAACTACAGACCACAAGAACCGGAAGAGATGGGACGGCAGAATGCAGGTGATACACAGAGCATCTTAGAACTCACACATGATGGGAGGAGAAAGAAAGATGCAAGTATCACCTGTTAAAATGCTTATGAACCACAGCTTCCATCGCCAAATTTCAAATCAGTAAGAATGGAGCAAGCTTAAAATCCAGAATGAGCTGTGGAATTCAAGATATGTTTTCTCAGGACACTCAGGCAGAAGCCAGCGACTGGTCATGAAAAATAAAGAGGAGTACTTACATTTAAAAAAAATGGATTAAGTGCCACTTTGTTTTTTATTTAAAGAGGGCAGTCTATCAAAAGCCTAAAGGCTCATCAATATCTGCCTTCCTGTGTTTAACAGCTCCTCAGTTACACCAGGATGAGCCGAGTTAGGTCGCCCGACGCTTCTGCTGCCATAAAATCCCTCACTCCTTGTAGAATGAGAGAACTGTAGAACTGATTTAGAACAGACATCAAGAAACACCATCACAAAGATGGTCAAGTGCTATCACACATTTTATGTCTTTTGGAGGAACCACGCACTGGATGGGCAGGTTAGAAGGAATCCTTTGGAAGAGACTCACTTAAAAGTTTTAAACCTTTCTATACTAGCACCCACTTCTCTTCCAAGCAACAACTACTGGCAATAAACATACCAAAAACCACCCAGAGACTGCTGTTACCAATTAAATCCTTATCCCCGCATCACCCTCTCCCATCTTACTTCTTGGAACAGATACACAATATATCAAGTCCTGCAGGGATCATGAAATATTTCTATCATGGTGATTAGATTGCTGAACTCTTCCCAGAGAAGAGTTTGCTTTTTACATATTTTACAAGGTGAACTTAAAAGAATGCCCCTTCAGTTTCTGCCAGTTCAGAAGTGCAGACGCAACAACAGGGAACAGTCCAGTTGACAGTGAAGTCCAAAGGTGTAAGGAGTGGATGTAAATAACAAGTTTCTGCAGGAAAACAAAGTAGTTTTGTGTGGTGTAGCCACATTGGTGCTGGTTGCTAGAAGCTGGATGAAGTCTCTGTACAGAAGGGCCATAACTCCAAGAAGTCTTTGTTGCCCCTGCTTCAGCATGCCAGAGTTATTGCTGATCACCGAGTCAGCAGCACACTCTCACCTATGGCCAATCTTAATGCAAGAGATGTTTAAAAGAAGGAAACAAAGGCATGAGCACTGCTCAGCCTCTGAAATCCCTGTGCTGGATCAGAAGAGTATACCAAGAAAGTCAGTAAGTTTGAGTGTTTTTTTTCTGTTGAGTGAACTGCAGTTAAAATCCCAACCCACATACTGACAACGTGGTGCTTGTTCTGTAGAAAACGATGGGCTGTGATATGGTGAATGTCCCATTGAAAGACTTGCTTGATACACTGGAAAGAGAGGAGAGACTTGCAGAGGGGACAGGAATCCTACTCAGTTATATTTTTTCTTTAAGCAGCAGTTAGGACACTCTGATCATCTGTGTCATTGCTTCTTCATTGGTCTGAGTTGGATCCTACAGATACAAAATACATACCAGGTTGTAACATCAATATTTTCCTGTAACAGCAGAGAGAAGCATGCACAACTATCAAGAGGAGATACTCCTGACGCTCCTTGATCTCTGAACATGTCATATTTTTCCTGGTGTTTACAGGCCAGTGTATGAGAATGGGATATATAAATCTCAGTAGTTCCTGCTAATGTTTTGTTTCTCGTGATAGAGAAGACCTATTACTGGTTGAGTACCTGGGAAGGATTCTACTTCAGAAAAAGAAATCTTCTGCTGAAGCCACAGCACTGCTTTGAAGCACTAATCAACAACAGAATTGGCTAATTCTACTCTAATGTGTCCCTTCCTTTGAAAACCTGTCATGCACTTTTTATGCCAATCACCATACAGCTAGGAATCAGATATTCACCTCCTCTAATTTTCCAGCAGATGCAGATAAGGTGCCTCTACTTTTAATTCATGTCCTAAAAACATACTTCTGGTATGCAACCAGACTGCAAAGACTGTATTTGTTAGGACAAATACAGCCTTCTCTGATTGTACAACACAGTGAATACATTTCTATCAGTATTACTGTTAAGTTAATTACTCGAGGCAAACAGACACCTGCTCTCTACCAGAGACAATTATTTCTTTACACTGCCTGAAAGGGAACAAGGTCAGCAGCCTAGCCCAAAAAAGAACAAACAGAACAGTACAATTCACTTCCAAAGCGTATAGTAAAGAAGCGAAAGTGGCACTTGTCCAAAGAGCAGACAAACCACCACCAACCTGCATATGAGGGCTGTCTTTTTCCTTTGGTGAGAAGAAACGTCCACCTTCTCCCCGCTTCCTGGCCATGGCATGACGATGCCGAGATTCGTGCAAGTATTTCTGTGACAGGATGAAGCAGGCAATGAGACCAGCCCACCATCTCTACTTCAGCACTCAGAGTAGGGGAAATTCCTGACTGCTAGAAAAGCCTACCCAGTCCCCATCCTTCCCAAAGATGAAGTGTTAACAGTAAATGCCCATTTGCAATGCAGCTACGGTCACATTCAGCAATCAGAAGCAGGCACAGGAAGCACTACTGCCACCAAGTGACTTAAAATTACTCTGATGTAGCTAATGAAGACACAAAAGTAGTAACTGAAGATCACTAAGATTCTAGTCCTCATTTTCCAGCACAAATGATTTTCTATGCCTTTCCCATTGAGCAACCCTGGATTAGATGGGAATTATATTCTCACCCTTCTTTCTTTGGGAATTTTTCCCTCGGCTTCAAGCTTAGCACGTGCCTGCCTCCTCTTCAGGATCCGGTGATACTGCTTGGCGTTTACATAGAGGGGCTCTTCTTCCAGCATTTCTGCCCCAGGCAAAGGTATTCTCTGGATAGCTGGTACTGAGCCAGCTCCAGGTACCATCTGTACAGAGAATGTGGGTTTAGTGCCTGTAGCTGAGAACATAAAGTGAATGCAAAAAAAGTAACTAAAAAAGAAAACCCATGAACGTGAAAATGGAAAGCGTTTGGGTTTGGTTTAGATAATGCACCTACTTGAATTAAAAGGAGTAATAAAAGTTGTTCTTAAACTGTAGAACAAACAAGAGCAAATTTAAAGAAATCAATTATTCATAAGTCATGCTCAGGGATTTTATTTTCTTTTAATAATGGTGAAATTTCAATACCATGTACAATTTATGACCGTGCTACTGTTTCTTGTACAATTAAGCATACAGGACATGCTCACTGCTTCCCTTTCTCTTTGGTTATCACTTCTTTAATTTATATGGTAATTTCTTAAGGATTACTCATAGAGCTGCTGACATCTAGTGGGGACGAAGAACAGAATGCAAGCTAAAAGGCCTCACACTACAAAGGAGTTGGCAGAAAAAGCCCTCTTAGGAATCAGAAAAACAAATACTAAGGAATCCTCAAAAAAAGCAAGAGCTGATTCAGTTTTTTTAAGCCTTATTTATCAGTTAACAACTTATTTTGAATTTCTGTTTCTAGATTTCTGAACTCAATCTGCTGTGGGAGAAAGAAAGCACAGAATACCCAGGTCGCAATAGGACACAGGCCACTGAAGCTCAAAACTTCCCTTGGTTAAATCCTAAATGAATGCTACTGAGAAGACTGATGATATTAAGGCGACGTTAATCTCAGACAACAGTTTGTGTACAGGCAACTTGAAACTTCAAACCTTTAAGAATATCAATGGAAAGGTCAATACATACCATAACCATTCCACCTGAATTGACAACATTTCCAGCAACCGGCAGCGTTACTGTGACAGTCCCTTGTCCACTACTGGTTGTGTTGGTGTTGGCTCCCGTTTGGACAATCTGTGCTCCAGCCAAACTGGCTGCTGGAATGGTGATCATGCCTGTAACAGGGACTGTCACTTTTAAGAAAAGAAAAGACAAAAACACAAAACCAAAACAAACCAAAAAACACGCACACAAAAAGAAGGGAACACCATTAGTCCCACTTCTGCTTTTTACTCATTCATCCTTCCACAGCATGCAAAAAGATCCAGAAAAGCATTACAGAATCATAGAATAGTTAGGGTTGGAAAGGACCTTAAGATCATCTAGTTTGTATTTGCTCAGTAATCCCAATGTCAGGTGAAAGATGTGTGTACTCCAAGGTGTAAAAGCAAACACCTTTCTATTCTGTTAGAAAACAGCCCTTGCCAAAGAGCTTGTTTGCACTCAGAGCACCCCCAGCACTGCAACTCAGTGTTTTCTTTGACAGTGATTACGAGGCAATGAACACCTGTGGCAGAGATATTGAGAAGTCCTGACTCTCTTCACACCAAAACTCATACCTTGTTGGAGAATGGTTCCATCAGCATTAACTGGCTGATAGACTATGGTCTGGCCTTCAGCTGCTTGTGCTACCTGTTGTCCTTGCACTGCTATTTGTTGCTGGGTCTAAACAAAACAAATAACACAATAACTTTACAAATTGCTCGCTTTTCAACTTTTACAATTCCTGAATTAATACATGGTGCTTAAGGTGTTTCAGGCATCTATTTCTTTTGCTTTATTACCAGCATGAAGAAATAGGATGGAGCACAAACCCACTGAACTGCAGATAAAACACCTCAAGCACATATATCATACTTTTTCTAACAGTATCATATTTAATATTGAAAGAAACAAGTTCTACGTTTCCTGTCTTGCTATGACTATGTTAAAAGAAGAACTATTAATTTCGGTCCTAAACAAAAGAACCAGCAGAAACCCCAGGCATGACTGGACTACATCACAAATGGCGCAAGTATGACATTAGTGATACTTCATGTTTTCAAATTGCAACAAATAGACAAAACCGACCATGAACCAATAAAGTACAGAAACACAATGGATAAAAACATGCAATCTATTTATTCTGCCCCAGAGTTATGTATGAAAACACTACAAAAACATGAAATTTATTCTCAAGTTCTCCTCAATATTAATAATGCCTTTCCCCCTTTTTTCTTAACCACATCTTAAGTCATTTGCCAAGTTTCTCTTCCTGTTCCTCTCAAGAAAACCCTTTCATGCTGGTGCAGTTACCTGTGTCTGGCCAGCAGTAACTGCAGTCTGTGGCTGCTGTATAATGATCTGCTGGGTCTGGCCCTGCTGCCCCTGTACCTGCACAGCCTGCCCACCTTGAATCTGAATCTGACCTGGCTGGACCAACTGAATCTGTGGAAGAAAGAGTCAGAAAGGAACATTAACTATGCCTCTTATTTCTCCCTCCTTGGCCTCAGCATTACCAAATCATCTCTGAGGATGATTTACTGTTGCAAAGAAAATGAAACCACTGATTCTTCTCTTTTTTCCATTTTCAAATGAAGAGTTTTACTTTACTCCTCCCCGTGACACAGCAGTCACAGTCATGCAGAATAGAGGAAACATAATATGCTGGTGTCATTATACCGCAGCAGTTCTCCACTGCTCACACAATAAAACGGTCAAAAGAAGTAAGTTATTTACATGAAACCAGAATAATAATAGTCAGGTGAAAGAGGACTAAGATTTAAGAAATCTGCAAAGTGTTAATTATCCAGCACACAGAAATCCTCCTGGACATAGATAAAAGTTGCCTTCAGCTTTGCAGAGAAGTCTTTCCAGCAATGTGGAACATTTCTTACTTTAAAAAAGAGGAACTGGAATGTGGGTTGAACCTGATGCTTCAGGTATGGATTTTCCTCCACCAAGCAGACTGTAAAGAACCTTACACAAAATATATTGGTTTTCAACAAAAAGGATTTTAAATAAACACTAAATAAACCTTCCAAAACACCGAGACATCAGATGCCTTCCTGGACTGTGCTCAACTTGATTCCTAAATCCCATTTTCGAATCACTAGAACACTTTCATTAAGCCACTGTTACAGCTCTTCCCTTGGCTTCTGAGGAACACACTGTGAGCTCCTGTTCGAATTCAAAAACCATCTTTTAGACAAGTATTACAAATACTTGTAATCTAATAAAATCCATCTTCTATACCTTCTACAGGATTACCTTCTGTGCAATAGGAAAGTTTCAATTTGCCTTCAGCCATCGTGTATTAAATGAACTCAAGCACAAGAGTTATTTTCAAGAAGCTTTCTTCAAGCAATCAATTAATCATCTTTCTGAGCCAAAACTGAGTAGGCACCAGATCACAACTACGCTGTTCAGGGCCAGCTAAAATAGAACAAACACAAGCCCCAAACCAAAAACCCCAAACCAACTCCAGCTGTGTTTTAATGGATCTCATTTAAAAGGTTTGCACCATCCCATAAAATACAAAAATCAAATACACAAAGAATTGCCATTGCATTCTTAACACGCAGCTCACTGCCAAATCCACAGCTGGAGGACAACCGGCTTTGCCCAGTTTAGTTCAAGAGGCAAATACAATATCTGATGAGGTGAGAACATCCCAGTTCATTCTCTGCAGTTTACCTCAAATAAAATGAGGCTCATCTCACCTGCTGCAGCCCCTGTGTTCCAGAAACAGGGACTTGCATGATCGTCTGGCCCTGACCCCCTGGCACGGCCTGCACCATGATAGGCTGGCCCGTTGATGTGATCAGCTGGCCTCCGCTTACTTGTACCATCAGGGGTTGACCCTGGACCTGGGAAAAGGGACAAAAAGCAAACACAACAATGAAAAGTCTGGTGACCTGAAGCCAGAAACTGAGGTGGCTCCCACAGGAGGCTGAACGCTTACCTATTTTAATGCGGTGACCAGAGAAACTGTGCAACAGTCAGTAACCAGGTTCACAATCACCATCAAGTATCTTTAATTTCTAGATTCTTTTCCGTGATGTGCTACTGGATTTAGTACATTATCCTTTTCTGTTGCAGTCTAACCAAAACTTCCAAGTCTAATTGCAATGAAGCATGAAAAGCACAGCTAAATTTTCCCGACACAATAACTACTTTCATGCACAGCCCAAGAGCAAAGTGTAATAAAAGAAACTTCACTATTCACATCACTCCTGCTAATCTTTAATTGGAGTTCCTAATGAGAAAGCTCTAAATAAGCCATTCTGACAGATTCTGAAGTAGCTTCAGCTCTCCCCAATTACATGCTTACAACATTTCCATTTCCTAACTGATATGTTGCGTGGGATGTTCTCAGGGAACCTTTTCATGGGTATTAAGTCAAATTATGAATGTAACAACACAAAGTGTAGCTCAGGAAGGAACAGAGAAAGACAATGAGCAGCTGCCACTTGGCCCAACAACGCTTACAACTGTATTTGTAAACTCAGCATAAGAGTCTCTGGAGACTGAGATCAGGTATGTCTCTGGTCACTAGGAAACAGGCCAATGAAAAGCAAAGGAAACCTCTCTGTTTAAACACCCTCACCTGCTAAGTCCTCAGAATATATCTTTGCCAATACCATACCTCCATGGCTTAAACGTGAAATGAGTTTTATGAACCAGGTGATGACTCTTGGCCACACTCTCAGTTGTTTAGAAATGATTAAAAAACCTGATTAAACCTCACTGACTTCTTGGGTTTTCTACCTGCAAATTTCAAGACCAGGCAATAGCGAGTGCTACTCCTCTGCAGTACTCAGCACTGCAGAACCCCAGGCTGAACATCAGCACAGAGCTCCAGCACACACTGAACTACCCCTAAAACACTTTACTTTGCATAGTTCAAACACCCAAGTGAATTACATACTAACACATCCACAGCAGCAACTGCGGTTGTACCTCAGTGATCAACACCCCACACAGAATAGTGTGACTTTCCAGTCACCCTTGCACCACTGTTCTGTTCCTCAGCCTGTGGCATACAAGTCCCTACCAAACATCAGCAGTGCTTGCTTTGAATCACAACATAAAGAGAAGGAGACAAGCATGCTCATGGCAGCCAGAGAAGCACAGTCAGCAGTACAATATCCAATAAGCAGAAACAAAAATGATTCATTCCGGGATTCTTGTTAATGTATTAGAGCAAGCAGGGGGAAAAGAGAACAAAAAAAGAAAGGGGGGCCCACAAGGTCAACCAGGAGGCCACAATGACCCAAGCAATTCATGTCAGCCAGCTTTACAAATGAACTCTGAACATAAAAAATGCTGTGTTCAACTTTACACCTGGCAAGACCATTCCAGCCTCCTGGAACTCCCCTCTGAAGAATTCAAACCCAAACAGAATCCAAATCCTGAGTAAGAAATGCCCCACTTCTAAAGTGCTGCAGCTATGCAGGGTTTCTCAGCTCCTTTAAAGCCTCTGACGTGAGCTAATGAAATGGAGTTTGCAAGACAGAAAATACTCCACACTGAAACAAACCAGGGTTTGAAATGACCTTACTGTTCTTTCCAGTTTAGGATACACACTTCAGGGTTTCCCTGGGCTGGTCACACATAAATAAGAAATCAGATGTCTCCATCTCACAGAGGCCAATATTGTCCTCAGGTGCCCTTTTTAATCACAGGTGAGAAAGTTTCACTCTCCAAGCTCTACCACCTCCCTGTCTGTAGTGAAAACACAGCTACTCACAGTGGGTATCAGAAATCCCATCTCCCTGAAACTACAGGAAATCTTTTGAGTTATGTATCTGAATTGGTTCTTCCTCATCTTGGTGGCTTTTTTGTCTTTTAAGTCCCATTTCAACCACTATTCACTTTCAGAATATACAGCCAGAATTCCTAGATGCATCAGGGTTTCTGGCATGCACTTGAGATCCAAGGAAAAGCTCTCCGTGGAAAACCCTACACCTTGCATAAAGCACAAATACTACTGCTAGCAAATTTTCCTGTTCCTCTTTCAAACCCTGGAGAAAACACAGCATTAGATATGTGGCGATGGCGAGAGTCATGCAGTGCTCACAAACACAATTAGAGAGATCACCACTACCTGGAGGGTCTGGACTTGCTGGCCTGAGGCGGATGCCACTTGGGCCTCAGTCTGCAGCTGGACAGCAGTGACACCACCCTGCTGCTGGGAATAGGAACAGGAATAGCTTGAAACATGGAAACGCACAGCTCCAACAAGAGACAACGACACTTTGCTGGAAGAGGGTGAATTGAAAATTCATACACACTGCTCTTGGAACATAAGGAATGTGAACATGTTTACAAACCTGAGAAAGGAATACCAACAGAACTGCATACAGGCTTCACTATCCCAAACAGCAATACCTTCCAAAGACATGAGATTATTGTGCAGAATCTAACATCTCAGCCTCAGTGTTTCAGACTGCTGCCTTTCTGCTTAACTCTTCCTTTCACTGCCCATGTTCCTTACTGTGGAGGGGTTCCAGATTTTTGGCAGTCAGTTACAATAAAGGCCATAAATTCCTTCCTGCACAGAGCAGCAGCACAGATGACTCCAGTCATAGCTTCAGCTATGTCATGACCACATCAACGTCTTCCCACGCTGACCTTGAAGGACAATCTTGAGAGGCTGCAAGAGCAGTTGAATCTAAAAGCCTTTTCTATCTTTAGCCTCTTTAGTAAGAGTCCCAAAATATCTGTGTTAACTGTGTTAGCACTGGGGAGATGAAGGACATCTCTCTACTAAAAGCTGTACTACAACAGGCCTGTTAAACGTTTTATTTTAGAGAAACATTTCATGTCATACACAACCCAGGCTTTAAGAGCATGTACTAAAAGTGAAGCAAGCCACAGTATGTATTTACCTCATTGGCACCTACAAAGCGTCAAGAAAACCAAATGTATCTGCTGTAGCAGGTGTTTTTGATAATTCTTTATGTTTAACCTCAAGTACGTTCTTGTTCTGACTAAAAATGTCAATTAAAAGCAATGGGAGAAGCTGGTCCCTGCTATCAGACTGGTGACAAAAGCCCATCTCACTGAAAACATCACCCACTCATTTGCACAACAAAGTAAGAAATTCCCCTTGCCTTGAACTACAGTAAACACAAGCTACAACAAAACCCAGCAGTAGCAGCACAGCTCACCTGAAAATGTGTTATTGTAGCTGAATGGGTGAAATTTAACAGGAAAAATCTATAAGCCCTTAAAAAATCCTGGCCTTTCTCACCTGCACAATAGAACATGAGCTAGAAATGTCTTTCTGGAGGATGAATTAATCCAAAGCTACATGTCTTGCTGCAACTCCTGTGCTGTGTGTTCTTTCTGCTCCACCTGTAGTTCTGAAATGACTGATCTCAAATACTCCTTTTGAGAAAGCCTCTATGGGCTTCAACAAAGCCTATTTTAAATGTGGGGGGAAATTACACTGTTCCTTGTGGACACCAGACTGTTTCTATTAATACTACATTTCTTCCATTTTCAGAGGGGATCTGTTACTTTCCTCAGGTCACCACCAGTTTGCAAACTCCCATCAACGTGGAATTTGGTAGCTTGTATACCTGCAACTTTATTAATAAGTCATTTTTACATCTACTCTGACTTCAAGTCGGATCAGTGACTGCAGATTAGGTGGCTAAAGCCAGGCAAACGCATATCCAGACAGTATCATGAAGCATCAGGCTGGTCCTGTGAAACTCTGAGAGTACAAGATGATGTGTAACAGCTCTGAGCACACCAGCTCATCCGTTCCACCCTCCATACCTGCTGCTGAATCTGTCCAGCCTGCACAACGATCTGCTCTGTGGAGCTGTTACTGTTTGCTGTGTACTGCTCCATAGCGGGTCAGCTCCAGCACGGTGGAAGGCGCACCTCAGCCTGTGTATCTGGCAAGAGAAGTGAACAAAGCCTGTGATTATTGTGCGAAGGTTACTGTTACCTGACAGTGCCTGAAAAGCAAACCATCTGCTGGCACTGATGTCAGAACCACCTCTTTCAAAGCACCCACTAACAGAACTACAATTGGCATTTCAAGAGCAGCTCATTTGACCACGAAGCAGAAAGTACCACAATCTCAATGCTCTCAATATCTTCAGTGCATGAAATAGTAGCTATGAGCCTCTTTCTCTTCCCATTTTACCCTTCAAGTCTGAATATTCTGGGCTGTAGACTGATGCCTGCACTGCATATTGGTGGAGGAGAGGGATGTGATGGTTAAATCCCCTCACCAAACACAAAGTTCAGATGTAAAACCAAGCTGCATTTCAGGAGTTCAACAAAGCAAAGCAGAACTTTCCTTCCCCAACTACACAGCACTCCCTCCTCATCCTTTTCCTCTTCCTCCTTTCCTATATTTGAGGATAACCAGCAGACTTCTCACTGCCCCCAGCCTTTTACTGCCTCAGAGCTCCTGGACTCTTGCCTGCACATATGAGGAACACGCTGTTGAAATAAAACACTCAGTTCCATTACCTCCTTCTCCCTCAGGTTTCTTCTCAGTAGATCCACAAGGGAAGAATTCTTACTCTTACTCTTAATGAGGTATTTGATTTATGCTATGACTGTACAAGTACCTGCTACATTAGTGAAAAGCAGCCTATAACTTTAATCTTGGAATTCTAAAGCACCAAAACCCCCAGGCTCCCAAAGAAGCACACAAAACCCAGTCACAACTTTAGCTGTGACAGTTGCTGTGGTTACTTGCTGCAGTGCTTCCTGCTCTTTAAACCATCCTTTGTACTTCAGTGCCCTGCATGTGTCTTAAGAATGCATCATTTTTCCATCACCTTACTCCTCACAGTAGCCTAAGAAAACAAAAGGATTTTACTTTCTCTTGGTTTCTTGCACATTAACACCAAACACAGGCCTGGCAGGAGACGGCTCCCACATTCCACTCATCAGGGATGTATTCCAATAGCAGGCCCAGTAAAAGCTGTTTGCCAAAAGCTTTCTGGCTTCCTTAACACCACAACCAGCTCTTGAGCACAGGCCCACCGCGGCTTGGGGATGGCTCTTCACACACCCTGTGCTGAGTCGCTGTCTTGTGTACTTCACATACCGGAAGGGTTGAAATCCCAGCTCTCTGCACTGCCTGCCACCAGCCAAAGTCACAAACAGATTTTACAGGCATTTGATCACGGTCCTCCCAAGGGATTATTTAGAATCCCAGACTGGTTGGGGTTGGAAGGGAGCTTAAAGCTCATCCAGCTCCAACCCCTGCCACAGGCAGGGACACCTTCCATAGAGCAGCTTGCTCCGAGCCCCTGTGTCCAACCTGGCCTTGAACACTGCCAGGGATGGGGCAGCCACAGCTTCTCTGGGCACCCTGTGCCAGCGCCTCAGCACCCTCACAGGGAAGAGCTTCTGCCTAAGAGCTCATCTCAGTCTCCCCTCTGGCAGGTTCAAGCCATTCCCCTTGGCCTGTCCCTACAGGCCCTTGTCCCAAGCCCCTCTCCAGCTTTCCTGCAGCCCCTTTAGGAACTGGAGCTGCTCTAAGGTCTCCCCTTCAGGAGCCTTCTCTTCTCCAGGCTGAACCAGCCCAACTTCCCTTCATTCAAACCCACAGCACCAGCGTTACTGCTCCAGTTTTAGGACCAGGTGATGCACTGCAGCCCCACACACTGCTCCTGGAGCTGCCTCCTCAGCCACTGCTTCCTCCCTGGCCCTGGGCTGCCTGACAGTGCCCTCATGTTCCGTCAGCGTGCTTCATACCTGCACACACACACACTGCCATGGGGCTACAGAACATGTACTAACAGCTCCCTCAGCAGAGCCACACTGAGACCGAACCAGCGCGATAACCCACGCCAGGACCTGCGCTACGTTGAGGGCAGCAGTAATAAACCACGGGGGACCAGGTTTTGTCGGAGCTCCTCACCCGCCACACGGCTGCGGGAGCAACCCAGGGCGGCTCGGCCTCAGCCCGGGGCCTGCCCGGCGGGCACGGCCGCTCCCGGAGGCGGCAGCTCGGCGGCCCCGGGCTCCTCACCCCGCACCACAGCCGGATCCTCCCTACGGAGAGCAGCGCTGCCGGCGACATTTGGCGGCCAGGTGCGGGGCGGGAAGGCGGGGTTGGAGAGGGGGGAGCCGCGTCCTGCCCTCGGCTCACACCCGGCACAGCGGGGAAGGGGAGGAGGAGGAGGCGCAGCCCGCGCTGCCCGCGGCCCATCTGTCGCAGCCGGCGGGGCCGTTCTCCGCTCCGCTCCCCCCGCACGGCCGGTGGAGGGCGGGGCGCTGCCGGCTCCCGTCCCAGCGGCCCCGCACAGGCCAGGCCTGTCCCCGCCGAGGGAAGCCGGGCCCACCAAGCGACTCCCCACAGCGGACCAGGCCCCGGTGCCCCCCCCCCCCCCGGCCCTCCGCGCTCCCCCCGCGCCTCCCCGGGCCCGGAGCAGCCGAGCCCCGGCCCCGCAGCTCCCCGGCCGGGCCCGGCCCCGCGCGCGGGCTCCTGACTGGCCACTCGGCCCCGCCAATCCCGGCGCTGGGGCCGGCGCTCGGGGGCTCCATATTGGCTGCTCGCGCTCACCGTGCCTCGCTCCCCCGGTTCGGGCCCCGCGCTGATTGGCTCCGCCGCGGGCCCCCGAAACCCAATCAGCGCCTCACTCAGCCGCCGCGCAAAATGGCGCCCAACCCCGAACAAAGCCCAGGGCGGGGGCGGGCGCGGGCGGCGCATGCGCACAACGGCGCACGCCGCGGGTGGCCCCTCCCTCCTTCGACGCCGGGCACTGCCCACCCACGGCTTCTGCGCCTGCGCGGCCTCACCCCTTCCTTTGCCTTGGGTAGCCCCCGCCTCTACCTCTTGGCGCATGCCTGTTGCCGCTTGGAATGTTCTGGGTGAGGATGGCGGAGGGGGTGGTCCTCCCGCCCGCCGCCATCTTGCCGCGGAGGTAGCGGAGCGGTGGAGGCCGATGTGGGCCGCGCTGGGACGGGCCTTGGCGGCGCGGGCTGCGGCCACGCCGAGCGCTCTGCACGGCGCTCCCGCGGGTGCGGGCTGCTGAGGGGTGGCCTCAAGGGTAGGGGTGCTCTGATGGAGGGCTGAGGGTGGCTCCTGTGTGGTGCCCCTGCGGGGGTGCTGTGCCTACGGGGTGTCGTGGTGGTCCCCATTGATGCAGTAGGCCTGGCCTTGCACCCGTGTGTGTGTGGGCTTCCTAATAACTCTCTTTTTCTCTCTGTCATCTTTCCAGCTGCAGGAGCCTTCAGCATAGCCCACGTTACCATGGCCACCCACTTCTCCAAGGATCAGGAGGAGAGAGTGCGTAGGAAATGGGTTATGTGGGCTACTGCTGTGATAGGTGTCTGTGTGAAGAGGCTGATAGTGCGGGAGCTGCTTGCAGTGTGCCGGAGCAAACTGGCTTGTGGCTGATGGTGCTCAGTTCCTCATGCTGGTGTCAGTGGTGCACATGCTGTGCAAGAGCGTAGGGGTGCTGAAGTGTATGGGGGTACGCAGCGCTGGCTCACTGGTGGTGTGCTGAAGACGTGCACTAATGCAACTGTGCTCCATCGTATGTAGTTTTCCTTTTTAAGCATTGGTTTAGTAACATTAACATGTAAGCTGGCATGTTGGTCCTGTAGAAAAGGTAGTTCCCTGTACGCTGGGCTTCTCATTGATGCTGAGTCCTTTACTTGTGGGCTGCATCTTAAAGCTCAAGTTCTTACACTCTTCACTGGCCATGCTGGCCAGATTCCCTGTTTCTGAGAATCCCGTTAGTGGAATCTGCACTCTGGGCTTGCTTTTATTTGCCCTTGTGTTTGTGGTATTTTCCAGCTGAAATGCGTGAAGGGGGACCTCTTCACGTGCCCCCCACAAGATGCTCTGGCACACTGCATCAGCGAGGATTGCCGCATGGGTGCCGGCATAGCCCGGCTCTTCAAGGAGAAGTTTGGAGGTGTGCAGGAGCTGTTGGATCAACGTGAGTGTGGACATGCAGGAGCTGAAGGGGAAACCCTTGATTTGGAATCATAGGATCAGCCAGGCTAGAAAAGACTTGAAATCATCAGTTGCAACCATTACCCCATTACTGCCAAGACCACCACTAAAGCATATCACTGAGGGCTTGGGGCAGAGTGGCTGGAAAGCTGCTCATGGGAAAGGAGCTGGGGCTGCCGACTGATGGAGCTGAACGTGAGCAGCTTGTTCCCAGGCAGCCAAGAAGCCCCCAGCATCCTGGCCTGGATGCGCAGCAGTGCGGCCGCAGGGCCAGAGCAGGGATTGTGCCCCTGCACTGGGCACTGGTGAGGCAGCACCTTGAATCCAGTTCTGGGCCCCTCATTGCAAGAGAGACATTGAGGCGCTGGAGTGGGGCCAGAGAAGGGCAGCGGAGCTGGGGCAGGGCCTGGAGCACAAGTTTGATGGGGAGCAGCTGAGGGACCTGGGGGATTCAGTCTGGAGAAGAGAAGGCTCGGCGGGGGGGGACTTTGAGCTCTCTAAGGACATTCCAAGCTGCGTGGGGTGCAGGGGAATTCCACAATGGTATAGGAGTGATTTAAAACAAGTTCTTAATTGTTTCACTTCAGAAAAGAAGACTGGGGAGGTGGCAGTGCTCCAGAGAGACGACCGATACATTTACTACCTGGTGAGAGTGTGACGTTAACTTGGGTACTTGCCTAACTATATTTGATAAGATGATAAGGGCTTTAGTAGTCAAGGGGAGGTTTTGACTTTGCTCCCCTAAATGAGAGGAGTGAGCTGTGCTAATAGAGAGGAACCGTTTGTATGTGTAGTTAAGCTTTAAATGGACAGAACTAGCTGCTAAATTACACTGTTTTAAGCTGTGAAACAAGGGGTGTTCCATGTCTCTTTCTGGGCATGGACCTTTGGAATGTAGTGGGATATGATATTATAAAAAAGCAGTTTGCAGTGATCATGGCAAAGGCACAACTGACTTTTTTACTTTTGTGCTTAGATTACAAAGAAGAAAGCTTCTCACAAACCAACATACGATAGTATGCGGAAGAGTTTAGAGGCCATGAAAGCTCACTCTCTGAACAACGGAGTTACTGACATCTCCATGCCTAGGTAGGAAGTGGGGTTACTCTAATCTAAATACTTCAGTGCTTTTTGTGTATGAGGATGTCTGCGAGATGATCCTCTGCTGTGAAATACGAGTTCAGGAATCCACCTCTCTTCTGGTCACTTGTACAAATGAAACTTGCACTTCACACTGTATTTAAATGATAGCAAAACATCCAGGCTTGGTTGCTTCCTTACTTTAAGTGCATTATGTTGATTTAGTTTAGGTATTAGGAAGAAATTCTTCGTTATGAGGTCAAGGGGACCCTGGCACAGAGTGCCTAGGGAAGCTGTGGCTGCCCCATCCCTGGCACTGTTCAAGGCCTGGTTGGGTGGGGCTTGGAGCAACCTGCTCTAGCGGGTGTCGCTGCCTGTGGCAGGGTTTGGAGCTGAGTGAGCTTTAAGGTCCCTTCCAAACAAAACCAGACTGGGATTCTGTGATTTTTTTTATGAGCTGGGTTAGTGCCACACAAAACTGAAGCTGCTCGGAGGGCTGGTTGTTCACAGCATGCTCCAAAAGGGGCTGTTAACAGCTGATTTCATGTCTCGTTTTCCAGGATTGGATGTGGACTTGATGGCCTGGATTGGAGTAAAGTTTCAGCAATACTTGAGGAGGTGTTTGAAGGCACTGATATCAAGATCACAGTTTACACTCTGTGAGCAGCAGTGCGTTTGAGCTTTGAGGACTGGGAACCTGGTAGCTGGCAAGGGGGAAAACTGCACGCTGAGCACATCCTTGGAGCGTAGCTCACTCAGGTGGTGTTGGTGCCACGAGCAAGTTTGGATGTGGGGCTGAGCAGCCTGTGAAGAAAGCAGTGGTGGGGCTGTAACCCTCTGGCTCTGTCTCTGGAAGCCACCAGGTGTCACTGGGCCTCCATAGAGCCTCGCTGTTCCTAGAGCTGTGAGCTCCTGTGCAGGGTGAAACTGGAGCTGGCTGTCACTTGGGTGTTTGTTGGTATCGAGAGCTGTGGAGCCCTGTCACTTGTTTTTCCCCGTTCTGCAGTGTCCACACGTGGCATACAGTTGATTTACTCTGTTCATTACAGGATTAGCAATCTAATTTTTACCTTCTGGCCACAAATACAGTTGTTTTTGTTAGGAGATAGTACTGGTTGAGAATCATGCTGTCAATATGAAATAAAGAGCTGTGCAGTACTCTGGTGTCAGATTGGCCATTCCTCTGTGTGTGTATGTGTTGTGGCTGTGTTCTGGAGGAAGGCTGGGTTTGAAGGGGAACACTAGAGATGGGTGAAGGTGCTTTATTGGGTGTGTTTTGTATCCTATGGTTGCTGTTGTCTGAGAGCCCACACACGTGAATGCCTGATACGCTCTGAAAAGCCATAGTGTGGAGTTCCAAGGTTTTCTTTCCATATTCCTGTTTTACTGCATTTGTAGTTCAGCTGTTATGCGCAGGTTGGTGTTTGGTGATGCCAGTAGCAAAAGCAAAGCAGCTCACTGGTAACTGCTTGATGTTAGGAAGCTTGGTTCCTGTACTGAAGAGCTGTCACTCTGCATCTCCTTTGTGTCTGTATTTTCCCACCCTCCCATAATAACAAATCTTTTTCACTTCCTTCCTACTGAATGCCCAAAAACATGCCAGATGTGTTGAATAAACTTGAAAGATGGGAGATAAGCAGCTTGTAGCATAACCGAGGGTTCCTATTTGGGTTTCAGTATGAATTGAATGTATGGGGTGTTCTCTGTCCGTGACATTGTGATTCATCAGTATTGTGTGTTTCTTTGCCGGTGCAGATCTATGGATCCCATCTGTGTGTGTTGGCCATCCTTTCTAAGCTTGGTTTTAGTGGATAATTGCTGTAGCTAAATACACAATTGGAAAACTCAGTAAGACAAATAGGAACTCGGGGGTATTGAGCTGATGAAGAGTGGACATCACCACTGCTCATTGATTCAGTCCTTCTGCTCATTTACGTTTGGTTTCTAGCGGCAAAGAGATGAAGTCCCCAGGGGCTCCACAAAGGTGTTCCCAATGCTGCTTGGGTTTCCCACCTGGAAAATTTATGCCTGAGTTTAGTGCAGTTGACTTGAGGTAAGAGAGAGGGGGGTGATCTGCAGCAGGGAGGGTGTGTGAGGAGCACTGCTCCAGCGTGTGACAGTGCAGGAAGTGCAAGTCCAGATGAGGACAAACCCTGCCTGGGTATCTGAGCTGATGAGCATCTCTGTGACCCCTGTGTGGTCTGTGCTTTGGCTGATATGGGAAGTGATTTGCCCATATTCTCAGTATTCTGCACTTGTATGCACTCTTGGATGTGTTTTGGCATGCAGTGATTTTCCCTTTTCATAATGATGCACTTCAGCTGTGAAATGTTTCATCTGTGGCTGGCCCAGGATGAGCTCGCTTGTCAGGTCAGATTTAGGACCTCTCACAGCCAGAGAAGAAGGAACAAATAGTGCTATAGCTTTTGCAGTGACTTCTAGTTTTATTTCACTTTGCTTTTCCGAGTTTCATATCGCACACGTCATTGAACGAGGGGAGAAGGTATTTGATGTATTTGCAATTGAGTACTTAGGGCTTTATCATCACATTAAAATAGACCCGTTAGCCCTAATTTAAATCACAGCTCTGACTGTGGAGGAGGACAGAGGAAGAAAACCCTTTTTTTCCCCTCTTGAATCTCTTTAACATTTATGAAGGTTGTACTTTCTAAATGCATTGACCTAATTGGCAGCTTTGCTCTAAGACCTTTTCTCATAAAGTAGTCCCAGTATGAGGCCTACAGTCTCTCCTGTAGACCCGCTGCTCTCCATTGCATCCAAGGCTTAAACCACACGCTATGGTGCTGCCTCATTTCCTATCAGCAGAGGCAGCATGAGTTGGTTTGGGGTGGGAGGGGGGAAATGGGGCCAAAATAAACCCAGAAAAATGCCAGACACCAAAGGTTTGTGGTGTATGTGTATTTGTAGTCCCTCAGGGCCTGGTCTTCCACAAGTTGGTGTTCCATCCTGCTGGAATCAAAGCTTTGGGAAGCAGGGGTGTCCCAGGTTTCCAAGTCTGTTGCATCTCTCTCTATAGAGCTTTTCTGGACTGGTCCTGGGGAGGGACAGAAAGACATGTTAGAAGCTTTAAATGCTTTCGTGTTTTATGCCTTAAACAGGTGACTTTTTAGTTCCAAAAGGGAATTCTGCAGTGGTGACTTGTGATTTCCTTTAGCCGTCGTTTTTTCCCCTGGACAGCTAGGCTTTAGGGGTGGGTAAAATCCCCTTCTCTCCACACTCCCCTCCCTGTTGCCACAAGTCTTTTGGATATACTCATGTGGGGAATAACGAGATGTTCTTGTTGCACCCAGCGCATGTGGATTCTTTATTCCTGGAAGTGTTTAAAAAGAGAAAGCTCTAAATCCCTCGTGTCTGCTGTGGAGGAGCCCACTGTGGTCTGACTACACTGGAAGGGGTAAGTTACTGCCTAAGATCATTTTCAGTGCTCAGGTACAGGCAAATCCAGCCCAGCACATGTGAAAGTAACAGTAATTGAAGTGGGGCTCTGGATGACACCTTGAACCTGGGAAATAAAGGAGCCTGTAATGCTGATACAAGGAGAGAGGTGACCAAGGAGAACCCCTCACTCACGTGAGCTTCAGTGCAAAATCTCAGCCAGCTTTTCCTCGTAATAATTGAAGTTCTCTTGAATGTCCTCCCATGGCACGAAATCCTTCGCTTCCTCTCCTTCCTCCTGTTCCACAAAGTTCTGCCACACATACTCAAAGTCTTGCGGCTTCATAATCCTCAGCTTGCAGCCGGCTGACTTCATGTTTTTCAGGGCCGCCTGCATTTCTGGCTCTTCCCACATGAAGAGGCGCCCTACCATGATGGTCAGGCGCAGGTTCTTGTTCTTCTTCAGGGTCTCGATGATGCGCTCGGCGCAGGTGACGCAGGGGCTGGAGGACACGTACCAGGTGATGTTGTAGCGGAGGCTGGAGTCGCACTTGGGGAGGATGGTGTTGAAGAAAGCCATTTCCGCGTGGGCAGCCGCGTGCTCGTCCTCCAGGTAACCCCGGGAAGTCAGCGACTCTTTGCCTTGGGTCTCCAGAACGTAACACAGGAAGGTTTTGTTCCTGCCGGAGCTGTATTCCACGTTCCTGAACTGGAACTTGAAGAATATGGCTGGGAGGCGCTCCCTAGAGAGTGGAGAGGAGAGAGGCATCTCAGAGGCAGACAGGAAAGGGTTATAGCATTGGCTTAGTTCCTGTGGGTGATCTTGGACTAGTTGCCACATCTATGGTGGCTGTGTTTCTCTGTGCATTAAAAGGAGAGGCCTTTTAGTAGGAGAATCAAAGTACATCTAAAATCCTGTGATACTCAGCTAATTTGTGGTGTGATGAGGCTTCCAGGCCCGTGCTCTCTACCTAGTATTTTTTCACTTAATTTTAGCAGACTTGTATTGGGAATATCTGGTATCTGCATTGACATATTTGAAGAAGAACCTGCTTCTAAAATGTATTTCTTGAGACTCAGGTATTTACTGTTGGTAAGGAGGGACAGGATTTAGCATTTTCCTAGTCTTAATGTACCTGTAGACTGAGCTTGTTTTCTAGGCCATTAACATAGTTCTGTCAGGGTGGTGGTGCAGTGTTAACCTGTGGGATCTGTTGACCTACACTTTTAGGATGATAGCTCTGGCATTGCTGGTTAATGTTCTGCCCCCCGTGCTTTTGCAGGCTGGATTTCCTCTGAGTAGAGGCAAGTATGACTGACTAGTTACACCTTTTATGTGTTCTGGTTCTGCTCCTTCAGTACCAGCTGAATACTGATGTTCAGTAGGATTATGTTGTGACTTTGGTTTAATAAAATACCTGAGATCAAATCTAACTTCTCTGTGAAAGTGTTTTTCCCACTGCAGTTTGAGAGGTCTCTCATGGATGCTGCTGATAAACTTCAGATACTTTTTGTGCACCTCCTCTTCCATTCTGGGTTTCTAAAGAAGCAGAATCCAAAGTGATTCATGGCAGTGAGTAATGTGTTTGCAGAGCCCTTTTGCTCACACAAGGTAGTTGTTACTTAAGGAAGTTACAGTTAGTCCCTTAAATACTGCATGTAGCCTTGGTGCATTGGTGGCTGAAGAGACAAAAAAGGAAAGCTGCATTGTCTCATAGTCCCTGTTCTTTGTTTGGGGAGTACCAGGCTTTCTGATCACCCCCTGTAGCATGTAATTGGTACAAGGACTAGTACCTGAGAGCGTTAGGTGGAAAGATGAAAAAGACTGTGCTCACAACATGCCTTGTGACCTGCTAAATGCCACAGAGGGTGGGAGTGAAGACTGCACAGGGTAGCCAAAGTGAAATAATGAAAAGGAGTAACACAACACTCCATTTATTATACACCAGTAATCTTCTGGCATGTTGTATTCCTCTCATCTGAGCTTTAGGTGGACCTGTAACTTTGATATTCCCAGTGAGGCAATAACGGGGCTTTGTAAAACAGTGTTTTATTCATTCCTGTCTCATCTAGAGTGGGATTATAATGTCAGCCCTCTCCGGGGGGTGCACTGAGCAAAGGTCAGCACAGATCCTCAGACTCCCGGAGTTTTTAATTGGGAGAGCAGTGAGGCTGCAGGATTCGGTGCCAAAGCATTGTCCTGCTGAGAGGAAGGAGCAATTTGTGATGCAGCATCTCCCAAGGTGTCTCCAGAGACAGTGGAAGTGACTGGAAGGAGGATCGTTGGTCTTCCAAATGCAACACGATGTATGAGTCAAAACGATTTGGTCACAGAATCGCATCTACGCTGGGAATACCATGGGGCCGCTGGAATTCTTTTCACATATCGCTGATTCGTGACTGGAAGTTCAGAGCACAGGTTTGCCTCGAGAAGTTTTACTAGGAGCAGGCTTTCAGCTGCTGATTAAACCCTGTAATTAAACCTCACACTGTTCAATTCTACTTAGATGAGATCTGCACGAGACGGGATTTAAACAATAGGAGCAGCCTGTTTGGGAGCCTTCCACACTATTTCTGGTTTAGCTGGCAGTGTATTAATGAGGGATGCAAAGCACTAGTGTGGGTACAGACTATTATTTTGATTAATGAGCAAATAAATCGTGCTCTTTGAATATGATTAGGCCTATGGTTCTCTGATTTGCATTCAGAGTCTGCGCAAGCCTAGATAAGGGAAGCCTGTGCTGGCTTGCACAATTTCTAAACTACCCAGAGGAACTTTAACTTCCTTTTCTTTGCATTTTGACCTGTTCCCTTACATTGTATGGCTTAAAGTTGCATGTTACAGTGAGTCTCATTTTCTTTAAGATGAATTGCAAGACATAAACCAAAGAGCATTACCAAACTCTAATTTAGCTGAGTGCCTCTTATGTCCTGAACAACTTTCTCTTGTTCTTTGGGCCAAAACAATTCACATGCTTCCAAGCAAAGCACTTTTCCTGCTTTGTATTCTAGCTAATGAGTGGTTCTTTGGTTAATGGTTATTTAATCAATGTTTTCTTTAAAGTCCAGCTATGTTGGGTCTGATGTAAGCCACCCACTGCCTTGTTTCAGAACTAAGTTTGTCAGGCTACAATGAGTTGTTTTAGAATAAGATCATGTATTTAAATGCAGCCCAGCAGTCACATGGAAGCTCATTCCAGATTTAACTCTTGACTGCAAAGCCATTACGTCAGTGGTGAGGCTGAGTGTGGATGTTTTGATGTGCTGTTTGAAGAGCAGTGACCTGTTCCAGATCTGTTCCAGGATGTGTTCACTCAGCAGTGCATTTAGTCATTCCTTCTAGATGGATTTTATCACTCACCATCTCAGTGTCTGCCTAAGATTATCTGGGATATCCACCTAAATCCATCCTCCTAGCAACATGGGATACGTATCAGCTTCATTAATAACTTTCCAATAAAGAATATAAACAAAGCTAAGGGCATTTTCCAAGTAGCTGGCTGAGAGCTTGGAAAATTTGCTGATCAGGACACCCAGGCAAGCAGAGAGCTGGGCGTGCTGGTCAGTGAGAACCTGCTTAATCCCATCTAAACCAGAGCAGGGAGGACACCTCAGGACAGTGAATTGCAAGCATCCATCCTGGCCAGGCTCAGCTGGGTCCTCCCTGCTGTGTGACCCTTCCTGGCAGCCAGGGTTCAAACAAGGTGGTGTTACTCCTAGGAGTAACTGGACAGCCCTGCAGGGAGTGTTTCAGCAGTGAAAGAACAGGCAAGAACAAACCCCATGTACCACAGGGCTGTGCACATACTGCAGTGCTGTGTAACCTCACCCTGAGGTACAGCTTGGCATGACTTTTACAAAGTGAAGTATCGTGATTATGTTGTTTGGGTAGATTAAAACTCAGAACAGTTGAGCATCAATATGCATCCCTGAAATAGCTGTGTCAGCCACTACAACTAAGCCAACTGCTTTGGAAACTCAACTCTAGCTTTGAAAGGATGGTTTCCTAGTAATACTGAATGCTTGGCCAGCCTGTTTTCCCATCTTTGAATGATAGGTGGTGCACAAATGTTAATGTTATCTCTATTTTACCCATTATGGGTTTTGTTCCAGCATTAAGGAAAGGTAATGCTAATGAAGTATACCCAGGAGATGAGTTCCATTTTCATATTTTCTTACACCAGAAGCTGTACTGCTGTAAGTGATGAACATAAATATTGTATTGCCTTGAATTTGACCTCACAAGCTGTTTAAAATACACAAATACCAGATATTTCAGTGCCTGGGCTATTTGCTTTTCTGCTTTTGTGTTTGTTTTTTTTCTTGCAATCAGTGAAGTTTTCTTGCCATTCCCTTCTCCAGGTCTTAAGTTACTTGATCTGATAAACCAGTGTCCTCTTGCTTGCTCCTTGACAGCTATTCTCAAGTAAACACATTCATGCTGGGCTCATTGGTTATAGGAAGCCTGCAGTGATCAGCTGAGACAGGAACTAAGGTTTATCCCTGCTAGAAGGAGCCTCATTTACACCCCGAAGCGTAAATAAATGAGAGTACTTAAATGTCAGGCAATGTGCACAGATGGGGCTTATATTTATCTGGGACTCTGTTGAGCCAAATGTTGACAAAACAGGGGTTAATATTCTTAAACAGAGTAGTTGGGTGCCCAGTATTTTTCTTGTAAGCCAGCCTCAGCTGTAAGCAACAGCTTGGAAACTTGGCTGCGTGTCATAAGGTGCCCCTAATCCAAGGGCTAGAACTGAAATGCAGTGTAACTGAGCTGCAGTGCTTCCACGTTTGCAGTTCTGTGATTTCTCCTATTTGACTGGGTTCAGTGGCTGCAAATATGTACGGAATTGGAGAAATCCAACCCATGATGATAGGGGGTAGGAACTGCTGGAATTTTCTGTGCCTCTTCCCAGGTCCTTCAGGATTCCCGCTGTACTTCCTCACTCTCACCTTTAACAGTCAGCATGTTAGTAATGAGCTAATGATCAGAAGAGACATGGTCACGATTCCTACGGGAATCCACAAGGTATTTATAAGCACTAATGTGACTGTGGAATTTCTTTTCTTGCCATTTTCCTCTCCACTAAAGGCACCACATCCAGCATAAGTCTCACAGGTTGAATTTCCCCCTTGCTCTCCTTTTTGCAGGCACTCATCATCCCTCCCGTTCCTGCTGCCGCCTTTCCAGAGTGGAAAGTCCAGTCAAATTCTGCACCACTCCTGTCATTTCAACAAAGAATGTTACTGCAGGCTGACACTAAGAAAGGACTTTTCATCCATAACAAGCACACCGGTTCCCATCCAGCTGCTGTGAAGCCACTACCCGATTCCTCAGCATTTCTAATTGCAGGGTGAGTGCTCTAATGCTGAAAAATCAGAGTTCCTCAATTAGATTCATTTTAGTGCATGTCTTGTCTAGAAGTTGTCACCTCCAGTGTCATTGCTCCAATGGCCATATAAACAATTTGTGGTGTCTTAGCTCTGTTCCTAGCAGAGGGATGTGCTTTTCTTACATTTCTGCTGGAGCAGTGCCTTTTATTATCTCTATGACTCTGTGTGACAGACCAAAGGCCAAGAGAAGCCTCACCTTGGGAAGTGATTTTTGCCAGAGCAGGCACATTTTAAGAAGAAAATGGTGGTTTTTTCCACCCCTGTGCAGGGCTGTAACCTGGTTGTGTGGGATCAGACCTGGGTCCTGCCTCCTGTGTCGCTTTCACAAGTGCCACCCAAATTTTATCTGTGGAATCTTTCTTCCCAGTGACCATATCACAGGCAGGAAGATTCCAAGTGGGATTTTAGTATCTGGCCTTAGCTTTTACATTCAAGCAGCTGGAAGAAACCAGGAGTTGGTTTTACATGGTGGGAATGCTCCCTTTGGTGACTGCTGAGGGAGACCAGAAGGAGGAGTGACACAGGGCATCTTGCTACTACTACAATGAACATTTTGCAATGCTTAGAGATAGCAGATTACCGAGTTGGTTCTGGTTGCAGCTGTCCATTATATCTGACAGTTCAGCTTCCTGGCACATCTCTCAGATCTGCCTCTTTCAAAGGCCAGGCTCCCTGGAGCAAAGGCAGCCCCTTGCTGCTTTGCAGTCCTGAAAGCTGCCTGTGGTTTTGGGGCTGTTTTGTGAGTCAGACTTCTCTGAAAGTCAGGATCCAGCTGTGGAGTTGGAGGAGCCCTTGGGAATGTGGGCTTTTATCTCTTGAAAACTCTGTCCCTTAGGTTCATAAAGCAAATCGGCCATAGCAGGGGTGCTTTTCCCAATCCACATTAGTGAAACTCTCAGACAAGAGAGCCACTGCTCACGCCAAGAAATCAATACTCAGCACTCATCAAGGGCCAGTGCCTTCCATCCCGGTACCACCAGGCAAATCATGTGGGACTACTTGCAGTGTAAGGGGAGCAGCCAGCACTGCAGGAACAGACCTGCGTGTGTAAAACAGATCTGCCTGCCTGGTGTGAATCCATCCTTTTTAAAACTCAGTGAAACTTTGAACCAAATCCCACCACAACAAAAGCCACGCTTAATTCCTTTAGGAATATTCAGCAATGCACTGGCTGAAGATGCTGTCTTTGACCCAGCATAAGAGCTGAGGCAGAGACCTTTGGACATCCCCACGTCCCTCTCTCGCGCCCCCATACTTGTATCTCAACCTCTTACCCTGTCACAATCTCAAATGGTGGCAGGTCTTCCCGCCTCAGCTTCTTCTTCTTTTCCTCCCCCTCTTCCGCGTTGTCAGGTTCCCCATTCTGGGTGTTGCTGGGCTCCTCCTGCTTCTCTGCCATCTTCTTGAGCCGAGGGGTATTAAGTTATGGCCACTGGGAAAAAGAAGGAACGATTTCTGAGAGCTCTAAGGGAGAGGGAGGAGGGAAAAACAGAGCTGGGAGTTCCTGTGCTAGGCACAGTTGTCAGGAGCTAAATATGGAACAAAGCAGCAACGACAGAGGCTGGATGGGGTAGGGTGACCCAAGGCTCTCGGGTGTCTCCTCCTTCCCCTGCTTTCTCGAGGTCTTTTTAACAATTCCTCTTGCTCCCCTTTTAATTTCAAATTAAGTGACAACTTCGCAGTGGGCGGGTTAAGTGATGGATGGAAAATCCTGGAAGCAGAAGGGTCTGTTTATCCATTAGTGTGACAGATACCTGGCAAGATGCAAAGCTGGCAGCTTTCCCATCTACCTTCTTTTGCCAGTTTATTACATTGCTGACCTTGAAGGACTGCTGTTTTGGCTCAGGCAAGAGGGGAGAGGGGCAATCCTCGCTTGGTTTCCTGAAAAATCACTGTTCTTGCTGGATTCGGCCTCTTGGGCCCCTGGGAGCATCACGACAGGAGTGCTTGGGGGAGTGGGACCTGCCTTTGCCCCCACCCTCCTCATCCACGCAGGGACACCGAAAGCAGGATCTGAGCAGGTGAAATCTCCCTTGTTGTGGTGTCAGATTGGATTTTGAAGTCAGCCTTAGAGTGGGGCAGTATTTGTGGTGTGGGGCAATTCCAAGCGCACGTGCTGAGCTTCTGCCCCTTGCTGTGTATGTTTTCACTCTGGTAAGTGCTCAGTACATGGGGAACAGTAGCATGGCCGTGAGCAGGTGAAAACTGCTGAGCTCAGCCATTCTTGCCCAGGTCTTTGTTTCTTTTCCCCTCTGCAGGTGTTGAAGCAGTGACTGAGCAGGAGCCTGCATGGTGGTGCCATGAGTGGAGTGTGGTTGTGCAGCAGGGGACTGGCACTGGTGTCAGCAGCGTGCTGAGGATGAAGCGCTGGGCACACTGCAGTAAGGTACTTACTGGGATGGGTGTGGAGCCTGCCTTTCATACAGGGAGGCGAGGAGGACTGTAAAGATTTTATTGACATGAGGTTGGGATGTTTGGGTTGCTGGGCACTGGATCAAGCAGACTTCTTGAAGAGGCTGTGGTAACCTAGAAGGATGCTCAGGAGTAATGTAGCTTTCATATGAGCTCTAAAAAGAGGTTTATGTGTTTGGAGAGGGGGCTGTGTGTGTGTCCTTCCCTTCAGGATTATGTGAAATTCTTCCAATTTCTCGCTCTAAACGTAAATCATTTGAAGTCTGTAGAAGTCCCATGTGAGCCAAGCCTAACGAAAGCCTGAGTCAGGCTTTTCCTGGAAACTAATCCTGCTGTGCCATGGGGGTGAACGTCGATGGAAGATGTGTGGCTGTGCAGATCTCCTTTTTCAGCCAGAGCATATTGGAAATCAAACCTCAGTGTCTTGGGTTCAGAACCCACCATCCTCGAGATTTGGTAAATATGAAATATTAAGCTCTATTTGATTGAGTGCTCGGTCTGTACTTAGTGGAAAACCTGCTCTGAGTTTGAGGAGGATAAATTGTATTCTATGGGAATCAAATAGGTGTGAATACCTGTGTTCAGGCCAAATTTGGTCTTTGTAATACATGTAATCAGCTCTAAAGAGGCTTTAGAGGGATCTACACTATCACAAAGTGAATTAAATTTATGCCATGGGGCGGATAACTTATTATCATAGATAACAAATAATGTATTACCATAAAGAACTCATTCTGGCTGCTCTTTTGAGCCCCCCTGCTGCTAACAACAGCCTCTGTGCTACAGCATCCTTTGTGGCTCTGCATTGGTAACAGCTCTGGGATAGAGCATCCCCCTCGCTCCCACACTGTTTGCTAGTGATGAGAAGTTGTTTGTTTGATGACTGACACAGCCGGTATGGAGTGTATTGTGACAACAGTGCAATGATGGATCTGACAAGTCCCAAGACATCCTATCCGTGGAACATGGATCTTTCATGGTACAGGATTTTATTTATTTTTAAGCTTAAAATACTTTCCTGGAGGGCAGGTGTGGTATTTTCCTCTTGCATGGTAACTGTGCTCGAATTCCAGCTCCCATGTCCAGTCACTCTCACCTCTGACATTTCAGGCACTGTTTCTGGGGATGGGAATCCTCTCTTATTGAGTGACAGCTTGTTTCCTTCTTACCCTTCTGCTTCAAAGAAGCATTCCAGCCCCTCTTCAGTCCCTCTGACCCACTTCTCTTTATTTTTGGAAGCTCTCGAGGGCTAAGCTCCCATCCTTCTTGCAGCCTTTAGTGTTCTGTGGCCTGGCCTCTCTGCAGGGCTCAGAGCTGAGCTCTAATCTAATCTCGGGAATGTGGCACTGAGGCTCCCCCTCTGCCCAGCCCTTTCCCAGCTGTTCCATGGCTCCATCTAGGGCTCAGCACTAAATAGTCATGATCCTCCCCTCTGCCTGTGCCAGAGATATAAAAGGACACCGTCGAGTTGCTGTCAATCTGGTGTTTGGTGTCGGAGCCATAGGAATGATGGCGGCTTTGATAAGTTATGGTTGGTGCAAAGTAACCCTGGTTCCCCCAAAGTGATGGGAGCATCCATGCATGGGCCTGGTCACTGACACCACTGATGGAAACCTTTTTCTATTGGCTTGTTCAGGATGGGGTTGGGAAAAGGAGCTGGGAGGTGCCAGGGTGGTGCTGGGACGTGAAGGGACCTCCCGATGGCACTTGGGTTCACTGCAGTCATTGCACTTGCCAATGGTTTATTGAGTTTTCCCTCCATCCTGCCCGTCTCCCCATTGACTTAATGGCTTATTTAGTTGATGATGAGCTTTGTTCGACACAATGGAGTCGCAGCTCAGCCACAGGAGAAGCCCTGGAGATCCAACTCACATTGGGTCTTGTGCAGGGAGGGTAAGGGTCAGCCCATTGCCTCTTCCCATCCACTGCCCCATGCCAAAGTCTCATCCCAGCAGAGCCCCATGGCCTTTCCCCATGCCCCACACACTGCAGCTGGTGGGCATGGGCTCTTCCCTTGGAGGTTCCCTCTTCTGCAGTGTGTGAGGAAACCTCCCAGCGGTGACCACAGGATCAGCCACTGAGCTGACTCCATCACAGTGGCACAAACCCAGGCTGTGGTTCTCCATCCATGGCAGATGTGTCCACAACATCTGGCATCTCCTTCCCTCTCTTTCGAAAGGTCTGGCTTCACTGTGTTGGAGCATGGAGGCCAGAATGCCTGAGCAGAGCTGCATGAAGGAATGGGCAGGAGTGGACCTTGGAGACAACAACTTGCAGTAAGATTTGAGGAGCTGTCTGCATGGGAATGCTGTCAGGAAAGGTAACTAGGCTAGGACAGCAGCCTGTTCTGGGAGAATCTTTCTGGCTTTGCTGGAGTATTGGACATTTATATCTGATCCTGCATCCATCCAAGCCCAGAATAGTTTCTCCACTGACTTTAGACCAATCTGATGACTATTTTTTCCCCATCTTAACTAGGCATCTCACAGAGTTCTGCATTCCCTTGACCTGGCAGGTCAGCTCCTGTCCCTCTAATTGCAGCAGGAGTTCCTTTACAAGTTAAAGTGGCTCTTTTCCTTTGCTGATCACAGAGGGGCAGCAGAACAGAGCTGGCGGCAGAAGCCCTTGCCAGCAACTGGAGAGTTTTACTGCATTCTCAGGCTGGAGGAACATTTTTGGATGGATGCGGGAGTGAAACAAGACCCGGGCTGTGTGAGTCACGGCGCAGACGTGCTCTCTATTCCAAAGGGACAGCTGGTGGCACTAACAAAACATCTCCCCGGATACACTGCCTGGCAGCAATCCCCCTCCTGCTTTTTCCAGCTGTATCTACCGTTACGTGGTAAATAAACACACTGACAGTGATGTGCGGAGGCAGCTTTCCTCCCCTGGCCCCTGCAGGCTCTCATAGAATCCTGTCCCTCTCCTCCCACTGCAAGAACACAATGCCAGGGTTTAAAAGATGGGGCAGGAAACACCACAGTGTCCCATGGGTTTAATTTGGGTGGTGCCTGCGTCCCTCTGGAGGAGGCACTGGGGCTGAAGTGAGCCATGGTGCAGGCAGAACAGAGTGATGCTCTCGCCTGGTTCCCCCACCCTGTGCCCTCCAACCCTTGCGCACCCCCTGCCACAGAGCCAGGGCAGTGTCTGCGTTGTTGGCAGGCACCACCGGCTTCCCAATTGATTCCCATGGAATTAAATCCCATTCCAATGGGAGTTAATGGCAGCTCCAAGCAGCACAACTCCCTTCCTACTGGGCTTCTGCTGTAGTTCTCCTGGGAGCAGGTTAGGGGGAGATCGGTCCCAGGGCCGCTGTAGGTGATGGAAGCCACAGGGATTTATGTTGTGCATCATCAGTGCTGATGGAGGAGTGATGGGGAGAGCCTGGCCCTGAATCAGTGCACACAGCAGCATTTGGCTGTATTTTAGCAGAGCTCCAGACATCAGCAAATCAATTAAAGTTCCTTACTGCTGGAGCCAGAGTGTTCTCTGGAGCAGCTGGTGAATTATTGAATGCGACAAGGCTTAGGTGAGGCTGGGCAGAAAAGCAGGAGGGGTTTGCTTATGCACAAATACTGTGGATCCAGCAGCCGGGGCTGTGCCCTTTGGGCTATGATCAAGTGTAATGAGCAGTTTAGTACCCAGTCCATCTTTCTGGAAGCACTGGCTGAGCCTGAAGAGGGGGATCATCACAGACATGGTGATCTGAGGGGTGGTTCTTCTCTTGAAATGCCACGACCCTGTGAAAGCTGCCGTGAATGCGCGGCCTTTGAGTCACTGCTTGAATTGTGTGGGGTGCGATGTGTCCCGACGTGGGTTATGAATGTTCCTGACGCCGTAGTGTCTGTTCCAGGCACCTTCGTGCCTCCCGCCTGGTCAGTGCCGGCACAGGCAAAAGCTTCTTTGGATGCCCTGCTAGAAGGGCCCCTGGGGAGGATCATGTGTGACAGGGAGGAAAGCCTCTCACCTCTTTGCTTTGGGTTTTTCGTTCTCTTAGGTCTGCCCATAGCACAGGGATGGATCCGGACAAGAGCTGTGTGGCCACGAGCTCCTCCCAGCCTTGGTGTGACCACAGCGCTGATGGGAAGCCAGGGCTACGAAAGCAGAGGCTGGATTGGTATAATTAAGTATTTTCTAGATGACTGCCTTTGAAATGTCATTAAAGTTATTTTCATGCAAGGGGTTTTACTATATCTGTTTAAATAGCAAATATACCAAATGATGCTTTAAATATTAATACAAGAGGGTGTTTTGCTGAATTTAACTTTGCCAATTGATTTTAAGCTATTATGTGTATTACGTGGAGGAGTGTTTGCTGGTTTTGCTGCCTGCAAGAGAATGCAAGGAGCAAAGAGAAGCTCTTGGTGCACTTATAGGTGGGCTGGAAGGAAGAGAAACTGAAATGAAGACAAGACCAAGTCACTGCAGTTGGGAAATGGAGAAGGCAAAAGATCAAAAAAGCCTATTACTCTTAACTCCAGGTTTTCTTTTAGCTGCAGATGAAAGTAGGAGGAAGGGGAAAGAGGACTCACTTAGGAAAGCTGCTCAAATATTCATTCACCTACTTAATTTGGAAATGTGATTAAAACTTTGCAGGTTTCAACTAGATCTAGTGTCACTTAAAAACTTAAATGTGATTTCATTAATACTCTCCCCCTTTCCAAAAGCAGAGGGCACTGTAAAGACTTGCTTTAGCCCTCCTGGCTTCACTGGGTGGCTCAGCTCATCCCTGTTTCTGGGGCTTTGCCACACTGATTGGGAAAGGACAGGATTGAGTCTCCAGCCCAGCTATCAGCTATCATATTCTTTTTAGGAAGAAGTAATTTATGTCTTCCTGTCCTTTGGCATGTTGCTTTCTGGAAGACACAGACGAGGCACCACTGTAAATGAGTTCAGTTATATAAAGCCCTGAAATACACAGGACTCTTCTCTCTCTTTAAGTAGCTTATGATCTTTCCAGTGCTCTTTGCAGTGCTCCTGCTTTATAGTCCTGTTCCTGCTTTATAGTCCTGCTCCTGCTTTATAGCCCTGCTCACAGCTGCATCCATTCAATGGCCTGTTCTTGCGCAGCTTTTACTTGGGAGGTTACAGCAATGTGCTTGCAGCAGCAGCCCTGTGAAAAGGTGTCCTGCAGCCACAAAGGAGGAATAATGGATGGGCTCAGAATGACAGAACAAGATGTATGACCACGTTTCAAACAGGTACCACCAATTCCAAGTGCTCCTAGGTCCCATCATTAAGCACCCGGCTCTGCTGCTGGTATGAGCTGGACCGGAAAACATTCAGGAGCTCAAAAATCAGGCTTGATGTGATGCAGGAAGGGCCCAAACCCCAACAATTGACCTTCCTTACCTTGGAGTTGTGTGTGAAGTGTATTGGAGGAGCCTGTTGTGGGGATGCATCCCCAAGTGAGTGTGTGTGTACTGTACAGGGGCTGAAGGGACCTTTGGGCTCAGAACCCACACAGCCCATTCACTCCTAACAGGCACTGGCACTGAGCCTGGCTGCCTGTCCCCATCCCTTTGGAGCCAGAGCACAGGCTGTGGGCTCCAGACAGGATCCCACAGGATCCCAAGCAGGAAAATAAGAACTTGGATTTATTTATTCTCCAAACAGAAGTGGCTTGGTTTTATTAAAAGCAAATAGAGTTATTTTACATTCCCAGCTAAGCCCTCCTCCCCCCCTTGCAAGTTTACCCAAGCACCCTAATCTACAGTCAGCTGCCAGAAAGAAAACCCACTCACCACCTTTCTTCACTTCTATCTAATTGCTATTCACTTCTATTCTGATTGCTTCTATCAATTAGAAACTAATAGTAAATATTCTCTGTAGACAGCAACATCTAAGGCTCAGATCTATCAAAGGCAATGGCTAGAATAAAGGACGGACAAGAGCCAGTCCACGCACCTCTTGTGTTTGGTTCTGTCGTGGCTTGGTCCCATTGCTCTGGAATGATTTAAACCTTTAAATGTATTTAAACCTTTCTTGATTAATAATATTCAGGAATGGGCAGATTCTGGGATGAGGAGCCTATTCTGCTCCTGACAGACTTGGTGTGGGGCTGTTCGCTAGTCATGGAATTACAACCTTCAAGGCAGTGTGAGCAAGATCTTAAATTTTACAAAGGCTTTTGTGTTTCTGTACTTAAAAAAAAACCCAAACCAACGTTTTAAGTGCCTTTTTCAAAGGCACTGATGGTGGCTTTTCTTTGCTGGTGAGGGGTAGCACAAGGAGGTGGAAGAGAGAAGATTCCTCTCGGGAGAAGCATTTGCATTCTAATCATTGCTGCTCTATCTTGAAGCATGAAACTTAAGGAGTGCGATACTCCACAAATAGAAGCCAAAGTGCCCAGTCTCCTTTCACCAGCAGAACAAGGCAGATTACTGCTTGCTGACAGGTAAAAAGTTAATGGTATAAGGCACAAACGTGGAGATACGTGGAAATGAAGCAACAGCACAAACAGCAAAAAAAACAATTAAGTTCCTTAAAGGTCGGTGTGCAGCAGGGAAGGGCAGTTTTGTTTGGTCCCAGTAGAGGAGATGGGATTTACCACGTGTGTGAACAAGTTCTGCTCTGGGGGGTTACGAGGGGTGTTCAGGTGCTGCCCTGGGTTATGCTGGAATCGTGAGATCCTAATTTGGCTACTGGCTTCTGACCTGATAACATTGAGGTCACTCAGACCTCAGCAGTGCTGTTCCCAGGTTAAGAATGCACAGTTACTTCAAATGAGCACATGGGTGCATAGTGCAAACCCTTCGACACAGCTGCAGTGAAGCTGGGAGGAGGAGGAGGCACGTTCCGATGCCTGTCCCAGAATGAACCCCCCAGATGATTAGATCTTGGTTCACATCAGCATAGTGTAGTTCCCCCAAATGCCTTCATTTCTGTCCTGCTCTTATTCGCTCTTCCCTGATTTCTGCTCGGGGTTGTCCTTCCAGATGCGGATGCTGAGGCAGGTGGCCATGGCCAGCCAGCCCAGATACGGCACCAGCAGCAGCGCCGCCACCTTGTTGATGCGGTACCAGGAGCACATGGTGCCTATGGTCAGCACGTCCAAGCAGAGGATGTCAATCAGTGCCTGTATCAAAGAGATGAGCGTGATGCTGGTGCTCACCCTGGGCAGCCTTCCCCAGCACCACTACACACCATCCTACCAGAGGTGGGGACATGGAATGGGAATGGGGGAGGTTTGGCAGTGAGAAGTCAGCCAGAGCGATCCTAAACCCTAGGGCTTTAGCTCTGAACTCTAACCTGTGCGATTGGAATGTGTCACACCAGGAGCCAAAATGATGCTAATTTATGTTCATTATCAAGTTCCGTGGATTAATAGACTGTTAATGATGATCACTGTCCTCCTGCTGGTATTGCTCACACAGCCACATCAGACACATCCTTATTTATGTTAATACCAATGGCTGTTATCACTGAACAGACTTTCCAAATGTACTTTACATCCACAGGGTGACAAAATTCAGATGGAAACATAAATCCCATGCTGTGCCTCTGTCACCCCTGGGCCTTGGCTCCTGAGGTGAGTGCTTTTTTTGGTATAGCTGTGCCTCACCTTTGTGCCCATCCTGCTATAGACTGCAGTGCACAGCGCATTGTGTTTGCTCGATAAGCTGCTCACTGCTAATACACCCCAGGGATGCTGGCACAGGGTGGGGCTCCCTGCAGGACTTATCACTCACCCCGAATCCTTAACTAGGGGCTGCTGACTGCTCCCTGTGCCTGGCTGGGTGGGCTATCTGCATGAGCAGGGCGAGGGGTGGAAGGGGCTGATACCATTGTCTAGAGCCAGGTGCAGCGTG